TTTAATTAAATATTATAGTTAATATTTTAAACTAAAGCTGTGAACATTGCAAGGCAAGATGTAAGAATGGAATATCCAAAATGTTTTGTGCCCAACACATTCTTTGCAAAAGTTACAGCTGTTTTGGAGTGGTCTGTGGTTACATTGAAAAAGATGTATTTTGGATATTTTGTTCCATAATTTCAGTCCAGATGTCATATAAAATACAGTTGCTCTGATTTTATTTTGTGGGGGTGTAGAGATTGGGAACATAAGTAGGGCAGAGGGAGGGAGGGAGAGAGAGAGTGAGAGAGAGAGAGAGAAAGGAGAAGAGAGAGGGAGGAGGGGGGAAGGAGAGAGGGAGGGAGAAAGTGGGGGGAGGGAGGAAGGAATGTGCTGGGTGGATAAGACATTGGATAGCCAAAGAGGATGCTAAGCTGGATAGAGGAGGCCTTGGTCTATTGCTTCTGTATTTAACTCTGGGATCCCTCTGGGTTTTATTTTGGCACAAACCTGAAAATACCAAAAGATTCTGGCTTTTGCTCCTTACTAAGTCACAACTGGTCCAACTTCCAGAACATGGTAGATTGTTTCAAGTGTGAAACAAAATATATTTTCCATTTTACGTGCTGTACAGCTCTCATGCAAGACGAGATACAACATAGTAGCCATGATGAAGGTATGATTCTGCTTTTTAAATAAATTTACAGAGATGTTTGAGTACCTGAATTCATTTGATGGAAAACAGTCACTCATAATCTGTTTTTTTGTCTTCTCTTGATCTGTCTTATGGGCACCATAGATAATTGTATACGATTGGAGCAGAATGGATCCAGTATGTACTTTGACGATAGATGATGTGATTGTTAAGGCAGGAAGTGCAGTTCCCATTTATAAGGAGCCCATCAATGATCTCTTGAAAAGATGTGGAAATTGTACCAGGCAAAGCTGTGTCATTACCTTTCTCTTTGAGACTGAAGGTGAACCTTCCGGTCCAATTAATTGCCACTTTCTGTCCTCACTGAAAAACGCAAAAGGATTAAAGAATCCACACATTCATGTAAGTACCATTTCCAGCAATACTTCTGACCTCAGCCAAATAGAGTCTTGATTAGATGTGCGTGTTGTTTTGAGAATTATAAAAGGTAGAGGAAGTGACCTGCTTGCTCTTGTTCCTGAAAAATATGAATATATTTTGATGGTGCGCATCTAAATCAGACTCCTAAGTTCTTTTTCCTCTTTCTGGCATCTTTCCGACCTTTATGAAGATACGCTTTCACAAGACAGAGATGGGGACAATGGGTGTGACTTTACTGACCTAAATAACTTCTTTTTCTTCTCCAGCTTTGGAGAAGCAGAGTTAATTACAAGATACCAAGTCACCTAATTTGCATAATTTATAGAACTCTCAGTGCATTCTTGCCAGTTTAGAATTTATTTCTGAAAATAGATTACACAAGCAAATGCGTACCCATTTACTTCACCTAGTTTTGGATTTTTCCCTCTGGAAGAGATTTTACATCTTTTCAAGCAAAATGTTGTTTTTGAAATGGTATTTATTTATTTTATATAGTTTATATACTCAATTTCTATAATTGCTTTTCTCAATCAATGATTCTGGGTGGCTTAGAATTCAGTTGTAAGATATGATCTCTTTCTGAACTGTGTTACCATGTTCATCATGAATATAAGTGAAAAACTGCTTGTTAGGAAACTATCTGGGTTTGGGTTATAGAATAACACAATCATTAATCATGTATGTATTTCTGCAATAGTGCTTCTGCCACCAATATTTTTCCATTATTTTTGTGGTCCCATAATTAGTGTTATGTACTTGATGGGGAGAAATAGACTAAATCAAGCAGACTGGAAAATTAAATCATATTTTGCTGGGAGACCAATTTTACCAATTTAAATACGTACAGAACTGGATAAAATGTTTATCTTGAGCATCAAACAACATTGCCACTAGGATTATTAAGGATTAAGAATATATCTGGGTTCATTTCTTAACTAGGAAATATATTTTGGAATTGGTAAGAGATAATTTCCTGTATTTTCACCAATTAGGAGCTACAATTCCAGGAATTTTTGTGGTGATGGTGGGAAATTTGGATCAATAAATTCCAAAGCACTCTTTATTATAAATGGAATGTTATAATTAGGATGTTCTTTATACACTTTATGTGAATATAAATGGATTTTTATAATTGGGAAGTTCTTTATACAGTTTATGTGCCATTTATTTTTTCTGCAAACTACAGTAATCCGTTGTGAAGATAGCACAGTATTAAAGAGACCAGGTGTAGTACAAATTTTCTAGAATTCCAAATATGTAAAGAAACAACGAAACAATAGAGTAACCTAAATTTGTCTGCCCCTTTCAGGCTTCTATTTCTCAAGAAGGAGGTTATTTTCAATTTGCCCTGGAAGCCACAGCCATCGCTCCTTTTGTTTGGTTGGATGTTGGGAACATCCTAGGAAGATTCAGTGACAATGGATTTCTTCTCACGGAGAAGCAAAGACTCATATTTTTTTACCCTTGGGAAACCACTAATGTCAAGGAACTGGAGAAGTCATTCAGCTTAACGTCGCTGACAGACATTTCCTGAGAAAAGAATGGAGAAGAAAGCTACTGGAAACAGGGAACTTTTGTAGGAATGTAATTCTAAAATAAAAATGGATACAATGGAACGATTGGACATTAGTGTCATGCCAACTTCCTACACATGTGGCATTACTCAGTTAACTGGAGGGAAGCCAAGTGCAGTTCTGAATCTCTTTAGAATAAGAGTACTTTAAATAAAGTCAGACAAGAACACTTCCTGAGAGACGTCTGTGGACAGCAAAATATGTGATACTCCACATCCCTCTGGTGTTATTTTTTTGAAGTCCAGAACCAGAGTCTGCATTTCCAATGAAAAAAATACATCGCAAAAGTCCAGAGATCTGTATGGAGTGACCAGAGGGACCTTCCCTCCTGTTTCTTGTGTTGGAACATTGTAGCTACTATGGTTAAAATACTAGATGGGCATTTTTCATATGTGATTATAACACTATATCCATAACCATAGTTTCCATTAGGAAAATGTGGCCATCCTAGACCAGGCTATGTCCAAAAATGCCAAGGAATTTCTAGAAGCCTGGCACTCTGACAAATCAACCATCAACAGACACATAGGCATTAACAACATCTGTAGACTATTGCAAAAGAAATAATCAACCAGCCCAAAAGAGAAAAAGACTCCAGCACCTCTCTGCCAATAATCAGCACTCAGATCAGCAAAGATTAACTTCAAGGCTAACTTCAGATCAACAATCAAGTAAGCAATACCCCAGTCAAGAAACTGTCAAAGAGCCATCAGTAACAGCCCAACCAAAGAATCTCTAAGACCGTCCCCACCTACACAGACAGGCAAAACACCAGAATATAAACTGACAGCAAATACCACCCCTTACTAGCACTGATGGCTACCAAGTTAGGGTAATGAAATGTCTGCATGAAAACAAGCAAGCTCAGAGAGCACCAAGGACCCCTAATTATAACACTATCACAGAAAAATCTTATGGTGGATAATAGGGGGTCCCCAACCCCCAGGAACTGGGCCACTGAAACGGCAGGCGAGCGCATGAGCTCACAAAGTTCAATTTGTGCGAGCTGTGGACACACACATAAAACCATCTTCTCATTCAGTGCAGCTCTCACCCTCCCCCATCAATCATGCCAGTCCTGGGCTCTAACTGTCCCCACATCTTCATCCCACCATTGTGCCGGTCTGCGGAGCCAGAAATGTTGGGGACCAGTGGTGTATAAGGATAATATTGCTGGTAAACACAGGGTGTTTGAACAGATTGCTGGTTAATAGAGTGGACCTAAAGAGGCCAGATAAGAGAAAACAGTATAAGCACCTCTAGCAATAATGTTCCTTTTTTTGTTAGGAGTAGCAACCAGCAACTATCATTTGTAACAAAGCTTTCAGCTGGACTTAAATTCTGGCACTTGAAGTAAGCAGCAATTGAATAGAAAATGGAGGGCTCAGCATCCACGACTTACAACCACAGTTGACCCCAAGAGTTCTGTAGCTAAGTGAATTTGCCCCATTTTATGACCTTTCTTGCCACAATTGTTAACTGAATCACTGCAGTTGTTACATTAGAAACATGGTTGTTACGTGACTCTGGTTTCCCCATTGACATTGCTTGTTAGTATGTCGCAAAAGGTGGGCACATGAACCTGGGACACTGCAACCATCATAAATGGGAACAGTTGCCAAGTGTTTGAATTTTGATCACATGACCATGGAGATGCTGCAATGGTCGTAAGTGTGAAATATGGTCATAATTCACTTTTTTCAGTGCCATTATAAACTTTGAACAGTCACTAAATGAATTGTTGTAAGTCAAGAACTACCTGTAGTTTTCTCATCCTCTTAAGATATTTGAATTTGTAAAAATGTTTTAATTTTTTTCCCTGGTTTTTCTGTCACTCAAAAATGATGCTCTTGCCTACCTCAGAAATAGTAACAGGAATCAATTTATGTATTTCCATTTTTAAACTTGCTCCAAATGCAATGTTATCAAATGATTGTGAGAGGTTTTCTAGCCATATGTAGTATATAAACAATGCCACAATTTGTCACAATTTTGCTTTTTATTATAAAAGTAAACTTAAAAAAAACAAGCTTTAAAAAAAATTAATGGCAATTCATCTAAATTGAAATATTTACAATATAAAAAGGGTAAAACTATGGCAAAACCCTTGAAAGCTTGCATTATTTTATAGACACCAGATGGAGTTTTAAATAAATTTACACAATATTTTGCAATTAAGTATCCTGATTATTGTTTGTGATTTTGTGCTTCACAGCTTTGGACCATGGTTACAGTCTATTATATAACTTTCACTGAGCATGAAGAGAATGGTTAATTTTCTTTACCATTTTTTTCTGGGAAAAAAATAAGTGCCATTCAATCCTTTTCCTGAGTCTTCCAGTTTACTGGCAACTGGTCTGAGTTTTTTGAAAGGTCCAGTGGATAAACATTTCAAAGAGCTTTTTCTTCTGGTGAACTTTGGCTCTTTAAAAGCTCTAATTTCTCTGGAAAAAAAATTCATAGCAATACCATATTTAAGTTACTTCAATTTTGCCTTGTAACGAGTTGTCCTGTCCATAGCCTGAAGCCTTTTTCTTAAGATTTATGGATGTCTTGTTGGTAAAAGATTCAGAATATGTAAAACTAAGTTTGTGAAGCGAAATCTCTACTCCACTGTCACAAATGCTTTCAGTATCCTGGAATTTGAAATTACATATTTCATCTGGCGAAAGAAAAAGAAAAGGTTGAAAAATGCAACGAGGCACAACACTTTACAGAATTACACAGTACACCCAATTGTTATAGAATGTAATAGGACCTCCTATGCTTTTCCTAATCCAGAATCAAGTTTCAGTCTGGGCAGGAATTTTATATTGCCTTCTAATTATTTGCAGGAATTTCATAGTTTAGTTACAGTTTAATCCCTCTGGAAGGTAAATTGGTAGTTCAAAAACATAATTACAAAATAAATAATATTTTTGGATAACCAACACCCTAGAATTAATATAAATAATGTAGGAAATGCTAGGCAAGTTGAACCAGCTTTATGGTATAAGAAGTGGTGTATTATCTGAAGATTCTTCTAGAATTGCTTTCATGCCAACAGTTGTCCTCTATTCTTGCAAACTGGGTTTCAAGTATTGAAGGCTGCCCCAGTTTCAATGGAATGGAAGCAGTCCATGTTTCATAGAGTTTTACTACTTTCTTGCCTGAATCAGGGGTGGTATGCTACCGGTTCGGCCCGGTTCTATAAAACCGGTAGCTCTGAAAAGCACCAGACACTGAACTGGTTCGGTGTCTGTTCCTCTGTTTGGCCTACCCACCCGTCCAGGCTCTTGGCTGTCCTTTATTTCTTGCTTTTTCAACATCAGCTGCTTTGCGTGGCACAGCTGAGGTTGAAAAAGCAGGAAAGAAGAGGATTTTCAAACGCTGCACAAGTAGTGCTTGTCAGCTGTCCGGGCGGCATAGCTGAGGTTTTTAGGAAATGGCCTACACATGCGCACAAAGCGCACGTTCACCAGGGGTGGGATTCTACCTGCCAGAGAACCGGCAAAGCACACCACTGGCTGGCTTTGCCCTGCCCACCCACTCCTTACCTGGCATGCGCGCCATCAAACTTGCCTGCTAAGTTGCTATTTTTCCTCCCCCCCGCCCCCCGACCATCAGCTATTCTGCTGTACCGGGAGATTTAGATTAGCTAGAAAGCAGGAAATCAATCATTGGATTTCTTGCTTTCTAGTTAATCTAAAAGCAGAGCTGAGCCTGAAGCTTCTATTATTCAGTGCAAACTCAGGTAGCACATGGCAGAAACAAATCTCTAAGTGAATCTGATTCTGTGAGCAACTCAATCTGCCCGCTGCTCTGCCTGACTTTGGGAAAAAGTTGCTCTTTTTTAAATAAAAAAATTCAATATACATGGTGTGTTGTGAGTTAATTTTGTGAGTTTGCTTGCTAGCAAATTTTATGTGACAGACTCAGGTAGCCGATGGCAGAAAGATAGATCTCTGAATGAATTTGTGATTCTGTGAGCAGCTCAATCTGCCTGCCTGCTTTGCCTGATTTTGGGTAAAAGTTGCTCTTTTTTATAAAATATTCAATATTTACATAAATATTTATAATATTTACATACAAGCCATGCCCAGTCAGTCACATGACCACCAAGCCATGCCCAGCCAGCAAGCCACACCCAAAAATTAGGCCACACCCACAGAACTGGTTGTTAACAAATTTGAATCCCACCCCTGGTCTGAATCTTACTTTACTACCCATCTTCAGGAATTTTAATTGTTTGTAATACATTTTAAACGCCACTCCTGCTTCTAAATGGATGCAACAGAAAAGCTGGTAAGAACCTAATATATGATACATGCAAACACATAACCTGTACATTAACGGGGTAGCCATAACAAGGATTATTCAAAAGCAATTTTAAGAAGGGCTTGCTTCCCAGTAATTAAGAATGTAACATTTTTAATAGAAAAATAGTAATAAGCAGTTATGGGCTATTTAGCAAACCTAAAAAATATATTACTTTTATATTCTATGTTCTCCATAAAAACTCAAAGCCTTCGTTTCCATCCAGGAACTAATCAAAACCAAACACACTTAGCATTACTAATTGAAAATGAATCTGACTCTGTAAAGTGATTGTACATCCACCCAAAAGAAATATTAAATTTAAAATCTTTGCTTGCTTTGCCATAGGTCATCCAAAAATTTAAAATCACACGTGCCTTTTAAAAACATAAGAAAAACACTGTTTCAAATAAACAGTATGTGTCTACCTTGATTTGTAATATTTCCAATCTGTAACGTTTAAATATTGACTGAATGGTATATGAAGCTTATCATGGTTAAAAGTACCTGATGGTGTTAATGCCCTAATTTAGAATATTATTTGGTGTGAGAATTATACGGATATCCATTTCCTGCCCTGTTTCTAATCGGCTCAAGGAAGAATTTTTCGGCTCAAATCCTGTATCATCACATCGATGTTATTGCTGTCATTGTCCTAAGAAACTAATTCATCTGCAAAATGATGGATTCAGTAGTATTCCCAACCCTGGTAACAGGAATTCTGGGAGTTGAAGTCCACAAATCTTTGGACAATGACGTTCCCAAGGTCTACTAATCTACAGGTCTGAATTGACATGTAACTTACCTGCTTGTTCTGTCCTAGGAGAAGGTAAATCACATAATGGAAGAACATCATTTTTGGTTTTCTCCTGGTTTGACTGTCTTGATGAAGTAATTCTTTTCTCAATAATTTCAACAGCCTCTGGATAATCCATTTCTCTGAGGGCATCAATCAACTCTTTTACTGTTCCACCAGAAACCTACCAAGAAGGGAACCAAAGTTAAATAATTTGGAAGGATTTTTTCTTTCCTCAGAAACTCTATAAAAAGATACAATAATATCAAGTGGGAGATAAATTTGTATATCTTAGAACTGTACTCTGCCACTCCGAAAAATATTAAGAGAAAATTGAGTGACTATGCAGTATAGTATTTTTTAAATCCTGCAATCTTATTACCATTTGAGAAAACAATGTAATTCACCTGTTTTCTCCACTGCAAATACCCATTTGCACAGTAAAATAACATGTTTTAAATGCTACATTCAGAATGGAAAGAAAACATTTCATTTTATACTTTAATTATAGTCTGTGGATAAAATCACCAAACAGAATGTATCATAGAAAGAGCTGGCTATCTCCTAAATATAGGGGTGCACAACTCCAACAAAATAATTACAATACAATAATGGGAAGAACAATAGAAAAATCAATTACACTCCAAACCAGGGGTGGGATTCTACCGGCTCTGTAGAACTGGTACCTCTGAAGAGCAGCAGACACAAAACCGGTTCTGTGTCTGCTGCTGTTTTGGCCCACCCGCCCACCCGGGCTCTTACCTGACCTTTATTTCCTGCTTTTTCAACCTCAGCTGCTTTGCGCAGCACAGCTGCGGTTGAAAAAGCAGGAAAAAAGTGCTTTTTCAAATGCTGCGTACCCGCGCGCAGTGCTGCTCAACTGTCCAGGCAGCAAACTGACAATGTTTTACATGTGTGCACGGCGTGCATCAGGCGTGTGTGTCCACGCGAAGTGCGCATGTGCGCTCAAAACATAAATCACTGAATCGGTAGTTACACCGGTTGGATCCCACCCCTGCTCCAAACAGCAAAAGAAAATTGGTATAAAATGGTTTACAAATTATAACTTGAACAGAAATCAGAAATAATTTTCTGTAACGCCAGAAAAAACAAATAAAAATTTTAAAATATTCTAAGCTATACTATATGTTGACAGTTGCAAGAACAAATTTTCACATTGGAAAACAAAGCTTGCAGACATCAGATAGGGTCACCAAAATAGGAGAATATTGTATGCAGCAATGACAAAATTGACCATAGATATCCATAATAGAAATCTAATCAAATTTAAGTAGGAATGAGATATACTACTTACTATACTATAGTATAATATACAGTGGGACAAACTGAGACACTTGGAATGTAGCTTTACAATAAAGGTATGAAACTAATAAATAATAGGTGAAAGGGTTCAAATAGATTCTAGTAACTTTAATGTTTGATATAAAGCACATATATTTAAGTTTTGGCAGCAGTTGGGGAAATAAACAGGAAGGGGAAAATATCATTAGAAACTTTTCTCTTAATGCTTTTATTTATGTTTTATTAATGCTGGGTTATTCTTTTTGTATCATTACCAGTGTAGATTTTTCTTTCCTTTGTGTTTTGTTATACTAACAACAATATTTTAAAAATTCAATAATTGGTATGGAATCTGATTGCATTATCTTAGTGGGTTAGGTCCAGATTTAGCAGCTGGATGCAGGAAGCAGAATTCTCATCCAACCCTCCAGAGAGAAATTTGTTCAGCCTTCCAAAAAATGTTGCACAAAGAATGCAAGCAATGGTGAATGAATAAGTTATACATGTAGTCCTCAGGTTATGACCACTCATTCAGTGTCCATTCAATCTTGCAATGACACTGAATGAAGGCATTTACAGTGCTTCCATGGTCACATGATCACAATTTCTGACATTTCCTGCCAGCTTCCCACAAGCCATCAGAAAGATCAACGTTGCAGTCGTGTAAAGTACCCGCTTAATGACTCATGTGGTCTTCAACCTACACGGTCTTTACTCAGTAGCAACCAGAACTGCTACAATTGCTATCCCTAAGTGAGGTGGTCATGATGTGGTCAATTGCATTTTACAACCACGTCACTTAGCAATGACAATTCTGGGTCCAATTACTATTGTAAACTGAAGATTATCGATAGTAGGCGTGTCAAACTCTATTTCAGTGAGGGCCGCATCAGGATTGTGTTTGACTTTGGGGGGCTGGGGTGGGTGTGGGCAGGGTGGGCATGACCAGCTCAATGTCCCTCGTGTCAGGGGTGCCTGTGATGGCCCGAGCGCTCTGCCAGTGAAAACAGGCTCCCACGGTCCGTTTTCAGCTGTGACAGCCTCCTGCAACCCTCCACCAGCAAAAACAGAGCTCGGGAGGAGTGTGTGCGGCCCTCCTGAACTCCTTTTTGCTAGGAGGGGTACCACGGGTCAGTCCTTCCCTGTTTCTAGATGTAAGCACCCTGTGGGCAGGATCCGGCCCACGGGCCTTGTGTTTGACACCCCTGGTCTATAGTGTGAAAGACAGAAATCCCTAAAAATTAGGAATTCCAGAATACAAAGAATTTGTATTCAGTAGATAAGAAGTTCTACATGACAAGATCAAAGTTAAAATTATGAGATTTTTTAAACACCAACTTGTCAAAGAACGTTTTTACCATAGTAAGGCAGTTAAGAGAATTACCTCATAATTATCCAGTAGAGTTTTTGATGGAGAAGGACTCAACCGAAAGGCATTGTTTAATATCCCTAGCCCGAGCTTTTGTGCCAACATGGACCAGCTTTTGGTCAGATCAGGAACTTCAAGTAATTTGTACAGCTGTAATTTAACATCCTCATTCAGGTCTTTCATATTGCCTAGAAAAAAAAGAAAAATCCACTGAAGTGCCATAATTATGGATTCCATAAATTTACATTAAACTATCTCAACTTCATTCAAATTTCCAAAGAACAGCATACAATATTTTAAAGTAGCATGAAATTCACTATTGATTACAACTGGGAAATTGAAACCATACATACTCTTATAACAGGTCACACTGGAATTTTTAATTAGAATTTAAAAAAATTAAATCCTCACTGACTTCCTGTATAAGTTGGCTCCCTGCAAAATAATACCTACTACAGAAAGAAAGATTATATGAGTATCAAAGGATTCGTTTTCTTGCTTAAATATGCTCTCACCTTGAATCAGAAGATGCTCAGAAGCTGCCTTTGACTTACAAAGTTTGCTACTCAAGATGTCATACACCTGTCAAGAAAGGGTAAAAAAAAACTAGCTAGAGATAAGTAAGTATTGATTTTATCATGCACATTTTTCCTGAGCATTATATTGGCCAGTTGCCAAGTTTAGAAACAATGCCAAATCACAGCTTTCTGTGTCACAGTGACATTCAAATTCTTAGCTTCTCTCCTTTACTATAGTAGTAGAACTACCGAGAGAACACAAGGAAACTTTCTCCAGTTTTGAATCAAAAGTGATTTTAATTAATAGTGAAAAACAATCCTATTGGTTTAAACTTTTTAAAAACAAAGCTCACACAGCATCTTGCTTATTAATTATAGTTCAATTAAAACTTGTCTTTTCAAAGATAAGAAAAATATGATTGGTTTAAACTGGGGGGTCAAACTCAAGGCCCACGGCCCAAATCCGGCCCATGGGTGTGTAGATCCGGCCCATGGGGCCGCCCTGGAAACAATGAAGGACCGACCCACGTTGTCTCTGACAGGGAAAACAGAGTTTGGGAAGGCTGTGTACGACCCTCCCAAGCTCCGTTTTCTACTGTGACGGCATCCTGCAACCCACTGCCAGCAAAAACAGAGCTTGGGAGGGGCGCGTGTGGCCCTCCTGAGCTCTGTTTTTGCTGGCAGAGCGCTCAGGCCACCACAGGCACCCCCGACATGAGTGACATCAAGCTGGCCATGCCCATGTCAATTTTCAAAACTACATCTTAAGGTGTCCCACAGGTGCTTTTTCAAGAGGCAACTGGACTTTCTGGTTTCTTTTTGAAGACAAGAAGCGTCTTCAGCTCTGAAAAGAAAAACCAGAAAGTCCAGTTGCTCTTGAAAAAGCACCTTTGGGACAACCATGACCTGGATGACTGAGAATCTCCACAGACAACATCCTAAGACAAGGGTGTCAAACTGGATTTCTTCGAAGGCTGGATCAGCATTGTAGTTCTCCATAGCAGGCTGCAAGGGAGGGGGGACAATGAGACGGACACTTCCTGCAGCACTCTGCCGGCCAAATTTTTGGCGGCAAAGTGCTGCAGGAGGCCGTCCAAGCCGAAAACAGTGCATGGGAGGCCCCACTGCACTCCATTTTGGCTGTCAGAGGCACTGTGGACCTGTCCTTTGCTATTTCCAGGCCAGCCCTGTGGGCCAGATTTAAGCACCCTGCAGGACGGATCTGGCCCGCGGGCCTTGAGTTTGACATCCCGGTCTTAAGGTGTTAGCACTGACTGTATCATTGTAAACATAGAATTAGTCACTTATAAGAGTCATTGGGCATTGAGAATTGCCCTTCAGATATTGCTGAACTATAATTATCCACATCCTTGAACACTGAACCTATTAGAAAACCACAAATTGCCAACTTTTTCAAAAGAGAAAATATCTGAACCGAAATGAACCGAAGAAGAAAATAATGAACAAAAACGTGTTGGCTCTTGAAACAAGGTGTCGTGATCACTTGCCTCCCAGCTGGTTGCCATATCCAGAGGAGTTGTCCCAGGTATAATTTTTTCACTTTCATTATCTTTTATATCTTCCTCTTCAAACAACGGCTCGAAGTTTTCAATGTGGGGATCTGCACCTATGTTAGTAATTAAAGAACATGGAAGAGACACCATAAACTACCTTTAGCATTTTTATTATAATAGTTCAGTTTAATATGTAGGAGTTCAAGGCACCTAGATATCATTGGCATTGCTTTGGGAATTTCATCCCAATTTCCCAATTTTTAAACAAAATTAGCACATTGACAGCGTATGTATGTGTTATCTACTGTATGTTAGGAAGCTTCCAAAAATAATTGATCCCATATAAAGGAAAAAAATCAAAAGATATTACTTCACAGTCTTAGTTGCATCCTCATGTCCACATTTGGGGCAGAATTGTTTTGATTTGTTTTTAAATGAAACTCTTCGTTAATTATCTCTTTTAAGTGCTAGTCATAGTGCCAAACAATAGTACTTGGAATGAGAAATTCTACTGGAGAACAAGTATGAATTCATCTAAATGTCCATCATGGTCTACAACATTAAAGTAATATTGATAAGAATGCTTTACCTCCCCAAAGAAAAGACTCTTTGAAAAAAAAAGGGGGGGGGGTGTCTCTTTTTGTTCTGACTTTCTCTATTTTTCTCCTCTTCTCCTCTTTTCTCCTCCTTGTTTTATTTAGGAATCTCTCTGGCCCTGCTTTTCCAACTGCAGTTTAACATAGTATAAAAAGCCTTATCTATACTAAGTTTCCCCTGCACAAATTTGCCTTGACTCATTCCGAGCTCATTTTACAGTATAATTATAATATTGTAGGCAAGCTCTGTTGAGGTGTGTTTTGGAGGAACATATGTATATATGTTCCTCTCATCATTAACCATGGTTTGTTTAAGTCACTTCAGAGTGGGTGCATAGTACCTTAGCACTTTCATGCACACACCCTTCCTATTTTTCATCCACTTCACTCAAACCTATAAGAAGACTTAAAGAAGAACACAATTCCATTATTTTACACGAGGAAGAAGTGGGGTTGTATTAATGCTAGTCCTGTTTAATGGTACTCTAAAATGTACAGACCTCCAGTATTTATTTGGAGAAGGAAAGGAGGTATTCTTGATCTATGTTGCCTTAATAGTATTTTGAAATGTATCTTTATCTTTAGAACAATTACCTACATGTCCAAAATATGAGGGTATTGAATTGAGGTTTTATGCCAGTTTTCCATGTTTGTCAGTTTCAAACACTCCCCAACAGCTATCAGTTTCTGCTCTTGTTAGTATCTGTTTAATATCTATTTTGTTGCACGATCAATGCAGGGCGTCCTTCTTCCTCTTTGGGGCTATTTCTCCTCTAGTGTCAAAATTATTCATTTCACATTGTTTTAACTGGGGAGATGCAGGTGTGCTAAATGAGGTCTGCTAAGAGGGGCAGACTAATCAGCCTGGAGAATAAAATATACAGGCTCCCAAAGTGGGACACTACCCAAATCAAGCTGCAGTGCCTTGATGGATGAACATTTCCTCACTGTGCTGTGATGTGTAAAAGAGGACAACAACACAGACAAAGGAAAAGCCACATTTTCCTATAAGAGTATATGACATACTCTTAAATAAAGACAGCACCATTTGGTAGCGAGTGGAAATAAATGAAATAGAGGCAGGATGAATATTGGCAATAGGCGCAGAAAATTGTATGCTGGCATTGTTTTGTGCTTGCTTAAGGAAGATGGATAATGCTTTAACTCAGTCGTGGGGGAAATATCTTTCTTTAAAGACTTAACACTATATATCGCAATAATGAATATCATTTTTTAAAAAGGAAATTTGGCAAAAGGTCAACACTGAGTCAGTAGGGGGAGCTGAGGCATTAACTTATCTGAGGGTGTTGGGTTACTGAACAACGAATTGGGCAGGATCACACAAGGTTTTCCATCCCATATTTTGTCAGCCTCTGATGATCAGGGAAATTACCCCAATCTGGCTAATGACATAGTTAATTCTGTAATTAAATTTTCAAAGAGAGAATGACTAAAACCACAAAAGAAAATGAGTAAGAAGAAATGATAATGCAGCTGAAGAAAGGGTGTAGGGCAGATAATGGACTAAGAAGAGGAGGAGAATGAAAAAGTGCTTAAGAGGGAAAAGGGAGAAAAATTTAAAATGTGAATTGTTTAATATTACAAGACAAAAACTGTCACTGTTTTATTACAATAATGCAAAGCATAATAGCAATAGCAATAGCATTTGTATACCGCTTTATAGTGCTTTACAGGCCTCTCTAAGTAGTTTACAGAATCAGCATATTGCCCCCAACAATCTGGGTCCTCATTTTACCAACTTTGGAAGGATGGAAGGCTGAGTCAACCTTGAGCCTGGTGAGATTGGATCTGCCAAATTGTAAGCAGCTGGCTGTCAGCAGAAGTAGTTTGCAGTACAGTACTCTAACCACTGCACCACTGAGGACTGCATATGTGAGTAATAGAAAAGCACTGCAATTTTCGGGCTATAATTTCTAGTTGTATAATTTTTCCAGCTAGAACTTTGGGAGTGTATCATGATACAGTCATTATAGACTTACTTCCTTACCTGCTGCTTTGAGAAGGGCTGCCAATTTTGTAGATCCCCTTCCAGCTGCTATATGAAGTGGGGTGGTTCCATCATAAGTAACGCTGTCCACAAATGCATCTCCCTGGTTTTTTAAGCAAAAAAAATAAATGCTGTTTTGGCTCGTGACCAGCTTTAAAGCAAAAGCTACAGAAACTACAGTGAATTGGCCTAAGATCACAACGATATTCTAGTCTTTCTAGAATACATGCACTTTAAAATAAGATTAAAATAATCAAAATGTTCCAAAGCTATCAAATCTCACAAGACTTTGTGTTTCTGATTGAAATCTTGTGAGATTTCAGGTAAGAACAGCATGTCTCAGATTTTGACTAAGTGAATTGAAACATGTGAGATATGAACTTCCAACATTTTGGATATCTCTTTCTCTCCCTCTCTCCCTCCCTCCCTCCCTTTCTCTCTCCCTCCCTCCCTCCCTCTCTCTGTCTCTCTCTCTCTCTCACCTCAAGTAGAAGGCAACCTGCCATGGAAATATTTCCTTGTTCAATAGCCAGGTGCAAAGCTGTCCTTCCAGATTTCTGTTCCTGGATATTGACATCAACACCAGCAGCAAGAAGTAGTCTGAGACACGGCATACTGTTTGCTATAACAGCTAGGTGAAGGATTGTCAGACCTGTATTATAATAACAATAATAAGAAGAAAATATGAATAATTCATATGGCAATACTAGGGAGAGTAGAACAGAAAACAAAGAATGGAAGAAGATCAGAAAGTATCAAGATCATAAAAGCAAAGTTGAAAGATTGTGGCATAAACCAATTGTGGTAGTTCCAATAGTTTTGCACACCGTACAAAAAATCTTGGCCAACAGTTATAAAATCTGTGCATTGGCAGAATTTCCATGTATCCACACTGCTTGAATCCACACATATACAACACTGAAATATTACAATATCCTAGGTTCTTGGAAAGAATTCAATGTGTATGAATTTCATTACTCCCTAAAGAACTGACAGTTGTAATTTCCCACTGTTGTGTAACAAACAACAGCTTAGAACAACTCACATCCTGCGACAGTACTTTTAACAACATCTCTCTATCCCAGGTCAATGGAAAAGATTCACTAGGTGATAAAAATGCCAAACCTTGTCTAAAAATCTCCCTGACCATGCAATCAACCAAAATAAGACACAATCAGGAAAAGAAGACTTGTATCATGAAAAAAAGACTATATATGGGGAGAGTTGCCCTTTTTCTCAAGACAATTTTTTCCTGAAAATTCAAATTTTTAAAAAGTGACCACCACCTGTTACTTAAGAACAAAACAGGGGCTGTATAAAAAGAGGGCTGACATATTTCAGGACATATTCTTTAACATCTATGACAGAACTGGTCAAAATGAACCACCCAAAAATATCAAATTTCAGATGGGCAGTATTGTAGGATAGAAACAATGGAAACAGAAAATCTTTTGGAAGGTTTCCATCGAGAAAATAACAAATAATAGCAGACAAGGGAAGAGATGATACACTGACATGACATCCTCCTTATCACTATCTTCTAAAGGTTATGGTCAGTTTTATTCAGTCTACTCTAAAGGATCTTTGGTTGTACAGTTAAAGAAGACTGTACAGCTGTTGATGAAGGAGGTGGTATAATAATGTGTTTTGTTTCAAAATGCAAGCATTAAAATAAAGAGCTTCCTTGGAAATCTAAACTTTAGTGAAACAACTAATAGCTATTCGAGAAAGTAATAAGACAGCACTATTGATCCATTAGAAACATATTCTGAATACTTGCTTACCATCCCCATTGGGAAGGTCTCTCATCACAGATGCCTCTTTATGTTGAAGCAACATACTTAAGGCCACCTCATCTCCTTGCTGAGCTGCCAAATGGAAGACAGAGTTCCCATGGCGGTCCAAGAGGTTCACGTCAGCCCCAGCCCCAAGCAAGGCTCTCACAATTCCCGCCTGCCTTGTTATAACAGCCAAGTGTAAAGGAGTCTGTTTAAAAAAAGGAGAAGGAAAGGGAGAAATAAAAAGGCCATCAGAATTCCCCCCCCCCCCCCCCCCCCCACATCTGTTTTTGGATATGTGTCTATGTGTGCGCATTTGAAGTCATTTTGACTCCTGCCAACTGCCTGGAATTGTCCCTATAGTTTTCTTTGCAGCATTTTTGGGATTGATGTGCTCCTTTCCTAAGGTTGACACAGAGCGACTGTATAAATCTCACCAAGCTAGCTTTGTGCTTAATGCAGAGTAGAACTGATTCCCAGTTTCTAGCCTTGGGCCTTTAAGTACTGCCCCAAACTGGCTCACTTTGCACAAACATACCCATTTAAAACTCTATGAAATATAAAGTACAAACATGGAACTCAACTGATTAATACAATGGATGCGTAGGAAAACCTGTAGCTTAAGAACAGTAGAAAGGTAATATTGAATGGGTCACATGAGTTTCAGTTGCAGACAATATGTCATCTTGTCAATTTCACTGTGTCCTCTAAAATAGATCCACTGAGGTCCAAAAATGAACTGGTTTGTGTATTACATTCCTCCCAATGTTTCCATACCTGGTAAAGGTCATTTCTCACATTGAGAACAGCAGCAGCATTCATATTTGCTATTACTTCTAAAAGGTTCTTCACCAGTTCCATATGAAGGTGAATAATTGCCAAGTGGAGGACACTGGTATCGATCAAAAGGAAGAAAGGAAAAGAAAAAAACAATTTCAACAATAATACTAGAAGAGATAAAGATACTGCGAATCATTTTCCTTACTTAGCATTTTTGCAGATCATAGAGCTGTGTAGGAAAATTGGAATTCCTTTTCTAGATCCGGAGTATTAGTGACAAATAAAGCTGCATATAGTGGTAGAATGAAATTATTACCCTCAATTTCCAGAAAGATAGCCACGGTTTTGCTTCATACAACAAAGTGCAATCCTGAATCTCTTTAAAACCTAACATCATGTAGAACAGAGTTGAAATCATTGATTGTGTCCATAATCAATTTAAGGCAGAGGTCTCCAAACTTGGCAACTTTAAGACTTGTGGACTTCAACTCCCAGAATTCTCCAGCCAGCTTTGGGTTGCCAAATTGCCAAGTTTGGGGACCCCTGATTTAAGGTATCAAAAGCCTCCCTGATATTCTTATATCATTGCTTCTTAATTTGATGGAACACAGTTAACATAGTTAGAAATACTGTAGGTAGGCATCGGATAAATCCTTACAATCTGGCATAAAGAAGTATGATTTGTATATTTAATATAAATATAACCTGTAAACTTAAGAAATAAAGTAGTTTTGAATTGTCTCTCATGATATGATTTAGTTTTTTTGATAAACTATTGGGTATGACTTAAGATCTGAAAGGCTGAGAACTGCATCAGTTTGAAAGGGAAATTACACTTTCTTTTAGGCAGTTCCCTGCTATTAAGCAGATCTTTAATGCTCTTGTCTTTAATATATATTCAGAAGTGTAGCTAGAAAAAGAGATGTAATGGGGAAATAACTCTAAACCACATTTAGTATGTAAGATGGAACACATTACGGAAATCCAACCTCCTTGTTTTACTGTATTGAGACCACAATTTCTTATTTCTTTAAGTGCATTTGGTTCCCATTCATTCATAATTCAAAAAAGGCAAAAAGGGTAGGAGAAACAACCGAAAGTTCCCACAACTGCCTATGAAAAGATCTCTTGATGTGCTTCTAACGGATTTTAAAATTGTGCTTAAAACTGTCAGTTTCCCTCAACTTATCCATTATTGCTTTTTTAGACACGTAATCAAACAATGCATCAAGGACAATGAATAAATATCCCAAACTTTTTTTGAGGGAGAAAAAGGGACTGGCAAGGCAAAGACGCTAACATAAATGATTGGTTTGGTTTGGTGGAAGATGCAAGAAGAACAAGGAGCAGCATTTTCAAAAAAACTATACCCAATCTGTTCTCCTTTAACTCCCATCATGCTTGGTTGTCCTGGGCAAAGGTGATTTTTGAAGAGTGTATCAACAATTGTGTTATTATTATTTTTTCACTTTGTCCTTCTAGCATGTAATGCTGGACTGCAAGTTGACTCAGAGGATAAAAACATTTTTTCCTGCATTTCTTTTTCAACAGCAGCCAGTCAGATGTTTCTGAAAATTCAAATACAGCCCTTGATGATGGGAATCCCAAAAGTGCTTTTCTTGAACTTCCTTGATTTATTTTAAAAAAAAACATTTCACTTCTCATTCAAGAAGTTTCTTCAGTTCTGACCTGGATGATTGAGAATCTCCATTGAAATTGATAATGGAAAGTTTCAACTGGTCTCCGGCCAGGCTAAGTTGATTATAGGGAACATACAACTCAATTCTTAGAAGCCCTACCCAGGACCTGTCTACTTTCAGCCATAACTGAAAGTGCTGCTTATGAACTTATTTATTCGTCTTCATTAGGTCTAAAATATACATCTTGTTCCAAAGACAGAATTGGCTGCTAGAGTTCAATCTCATCATGGCCACGAAGATAAAAGCTTCCAATGACAATGGAAGTTAAATCTGGTATGGTTGAAAAAAACCCCCAAAGCTGTTACACCTACCCCTAACCAATACTTTAATTAAATTTTATTGTTTTATATTCCATCTTTTAATTCAAAATAAAATCAACTTGTAAAAAAGAAATCCTTTATGGAAGAGAAAACTGTGTACTTCTTGTTATGTCTAATTTGGATTACTTTGCTATATAGATCCATAGTTATTTTTCAAGATATATCTTGAAGCAATGGCCTTTGGATTAACGCTATGGATAGTCTTTTTCAGAAGGCTGGGAATTCCCCAGTGGAGTATATTTTCCTATGAGGAAAATAGATCTAATTGTTGACCCCATCGCACTTGGCTCAGAGAAGCAAATTTGCATTGCATGCAGTGAGATTCATTGTGAGCCAACCTATAGATTTTTAAGAATAAATTAAGCATGTTTTTTATGGCAACTTTATACTGGTCATTTCAGAGAGAGAAAAATAGTCTTGTTTAAGGCTAAACTAAATTCCTCCAGGCAATTTGTCTCCCTTCGCTTCCTGGAAATAACATATTCAACCTGAAATTACATCCCAGAGAGATCCCGATGATAAACAAAGCCTCCTACAAACTCCCATCCTAGACTTCACCTTTCTTATGGCTGCACTTCGGCTGTATGTGAAAAGAAAAGGGCATATGTATCTCATATTTTAACATATTTTGAAGAAATGGGAAAGGAAAAGCTTCCAATGCTGGAGTTCAGAGGATTACAAAATGAAAATCACGTGACATTTCCAGCTATTTTATATTAAGTATTGCCAATATACAAAGGGTAATCAACGAATGGGGAGAGGATGGCTGCCTTACTTGTGCCTTGTGAACACTGCCTGAGAAAATGTAGCAAGGTATAGCATGAACGGAATTCCAGTTTGGTAATCAAAATAGGATTTCACAAGATGTAAAGAAGAGGAAGCATGTATTTAAAAAGTGGTCATAAATCAAGACTACAACATTTTCACAAAACAAGGAATTGATTTAATAGAGTATGCAAATCTTTTGTACTAGAGCTGTTAGGAATCACACTAATTTGAGCTAACTCTTTGGAGCAACATTATTACCACTGGCCACAACGAAAGATCTTCCAACACTTTCTTTCTTTTAACTGACTTCTAAGACATTCTTTTAATTTAAATTCAACCTTCTTTTGATTCATAAACCTACAAGGGCTTCCTCCCAGATCTAAGTGTTGGGGAAGTGCTGGTAACATATGATCCTGTCAATTTCTACAGCTTCAAAGTTGAGAAGCTTGCAGTTCTTCATTATTTGTTTGAAGGAGATGGCGAGATTAAATATCAAAGACTGATATTTGGAATAGGAGGAAAGGTAGACTCCTGCCATCAGATAACCTTCCAGATATATTAGACTTCAATTCCTGTCATGTCCAGATAGAGTGTTTCCATTATTATTACTGGTATTCTCTTTTTTCCCCATATGGAAATTCTTCAGTACATTCTGGAAGAATAATTGATTTGTATCAACTGCAAGAGATGTAACTGCAAAAAAACTGAAGCCTTAAGGCATTATGGAAAAAAGATTGGAATGAGGGATGAGTTCTCTCTGATCTAAAAGCAAAAAGGATCAAAGTCAAAGGGGGAAAAATACCCTCTCGTCGTGTTTTGAAATGTTACATATAGAGATGAGTCAGATAATTTTGCCTCTTTTTCTCTAAATGAGAAGCATCTATAATGAATCATTGGAATGTAGCCTCATTTTGGAACCATTACTTTCCTTTCTGTGTCATCTCAAGAGTAGAACATGACATCTATTACTTGGGGAAAAATAAAATATTGAGAATGATACTTCAAAAGTTAAACTAGTTTACCAAGAAACAATAGAAAAAGCAATGAATTTCATGAATTTTACTTTCAGGCTAATACAGATGGAACTGCATCTTAAATAGAGTCATAGATCCCTGCAGAGGATAACTTAGCAAGCATCAATATATGCATTATGATGTTATGAAGCATATTTTATCACCCAATCTTCCTTTTCCTCTTCTGCAGAGAATCATGTACTTATTCTCTGCCTTTAACATGAAGTTCTGTGTACGCTGGCCTGAAAGTAAATGTAAATGAAGAGACCACGGGTCTCAAACGCAATTTCATTGGGGGTCACATCAAGGTTGTGCTTGACCTCGGGGGGCTGGGGGGGCCATAGCCGGGGTGGGCATGGCCAGCTCATATCGGGGGTGCCTATGGTGGCCTGGGAGCACTGCCAGTGAAAACGGGCTCCCGAGCTCCATTTTCGGCTGAGACGGTCTCCTGCAACTCTCTGCCAGTGAAAACGGAGCTTGCAAGGGCCACCCATGGCCCTCCCAAGCTCCGTTTTTGCTGGCAGAGCCACCGTGGGCTGGTCCTTCACTGTTTCCAGGGTGGCCCCACAGGCCAGATCTAAGCACCCCGCGGGCCAGATCTGGCCCCCAGGTCTTGAGTTTGACAGCCCTGGAATAGACTGAGACTTGCGTGATAGGCTGTAACAGAACTATGAAAGGGCAGATTCTAGAACACATTTGTTTTCATTTGGATATCATCTGTAGACATCTTTGAGAAAGCTGTTTTTGTAATAAAAAACAAAACAGAAAACACAGAATTTGGGAATTTAGGGTTTTCCCATCATGTAAAAAAATGTCATCCTATCATGTTATACAAATTTGCTTTTATGATATTATATACTTACTTATCCCCATTTTCATCCTGAATGGTTGTCAGGGGGCGCTGTACTGCCAGAAGCATCTTTACATCTCCTGTGACTGCATAGTCAAAAAGAGCATTAGCGTGTCGCTTAGCAAGTTCCATGGCTTTTTCCAAAAAGAAGGCATCTGTAGGGAGTGGAATTATCATTTTCAGTTCTAATGAAAATATACAGCCAACATTTCTGATTCTGATTCAGGTGCAATGTGAAGAGAATGTGAAACCTCTATACTTCAAAAGCATCATATAAGGGGACATAGAAGTTGTAATCTGAAACAAAACATTTCATCTGCACGCTAGGCAACTCCACGATAGCTAAACCGAAATTACATGCAGGATCCGTAGATTACATGTGGGATCTACAAAGGTGGAATCTAGTAAAAAAAAAATAATGACGGCCATAGCCAAATATAAAGCATCCATATCACAAACAGAAAAACATTAAGCATGAATACACTGTAAATGTGTTGATTGTATTCTCTAATTTATTCAATATACTAAATTATTCAAGAACCTGAGGACAAGTAGAAATGGGCTTGATCCTAAACTCTAAGGTTCCAGTAGGTCTTCTTGAGATGAAGGTTAATGAGCCACAGTGGCACAGTGGTTAGAGTGCAGTACTGCAGGCTACTTCTGCTGACTGCTGACTGCAATTTGGCAGTTCAAATCTCACCAGGCTCCAAGTTGACTCAGCCTTCCATCCTTTCCGAGGCGGGTAAAATGAGAACCAAGATTGTGGGGGACAATATGCTGACTCTGTAAACTGCTTAGAGAGAGCTGTAAAGCACTATGAAGCAGTATATAAATCTAAGTGATGTTGCTATTGCTAAGGGAGAAATATTTATTTTCTTGCTTTTCTCAGTGTGTTTCTGATGGCCCACCAAACAGAACAATACTAGGTTCAAGCAGTACCATGACTAGGTGCAATTGTACAATGGTTCTATTTGTATAGATGTGCAATTTCTATTTCAAGGCATTGCTCTCTTTGAAACTGACAACCATAGTAGCACAATTCCAGCTGTCTATTGCTGTTTCCCTCTTTTGCTTGCTTCAACAGAGCTGCTATTCCATTGGAAAGAGTTACAGTGCAGAGAGCTGCAGAGAAATATGACAGCTTTGTCTCTGGTGTATTTGATGCTGGAATCAAAAGGGCTAGAAGATAGAAAGGCTGTTTACCTGGCCGGGCTCGAAGAAGCTACAGGGGCTTTAGATTCTCATGTCAAATAACAACTGGCATTCCTCTTTGTTTTTATACAGAAAACCTTGGGAAACCATTAAAGCTGTTTCACTGCTTGGTCACAAGAATACCCTTAAAGTTTAAGCTTTAATCAGTTGTTGTGCTTGTTAATTAATGTGAAGCGACATGCATTGTATGCAATTGCACAAAACATTATTTCATGTATGATCTTTGTTTTCTAGGACATGTTTTACATAATACATTTCCTGTGCAGTGGAAAGGAGGATTGGCATGTTCTTCTCTTCCAACTAGACTTTGCATCAGCTCAGATAATCCTTGAAGGCACTACTTCAAGTATTCCCAATACTGGGGTTAGAACCGTTAGATGGACAGCAAAAAACGTAATTTCTTTGAGGCATTCAAATTATGGAATTTCCCCCCTTCATCTTTTGTTACTCTTCAAACATTGAGTATCCATTTTGTTATCTCATGACTCCATGGTTTTAAACTCTATTTCTGTTACGAACTAAGCAAACGCATTAGTTTTGAATCCTAATAGATTTACTTCCACAGCAGGCTCGTAATCCTGCACTTCTGATTGGCCCGCAGTTAGCAGATCGTGATTGGTCGTCTCTGGCTAATCTGATTGGCTGACAGCGGGTCGCCGCCGATTGGACCCTTCCAGCGCGGCAAACTTGAATCATTGGACATTGTGACAGCAGCCAGCTCTATAAAAGGAGCTGCTGCTGCCCAAGCCTTCGTTCCTTTGCTGAAGTCACTAATAAAGAGTTGAGTCACTATTCGATGCCTCATCTCCGTTCCTTGCGCCCACTCCTCCAGTTCTAACAATTTCCTAGTGGACAATCACTTAAATATGAGTCAGCAGCCAATACAGTTCTATGCTGCATAAACAGAGGGATAGAATCAAGATCACATGAAGTGTTAATACCACTTTATAATGCCTGGTAAGGCCACACTTGGAATGCTGCATCCAGTTTTGGTTGCCATGATGTAAAAAAAGATGTTCAGAATCTAGAAAGAGTGCAGAGAAGAGCAACAAAGATGATATGGGGACTGGAGGCTAAAACATATAAAGAATGGTTGCTGGAATTGGGTATGTCTAGTTTAATGAAAAGGAGGACTAGGGGTGACATAACAGCAGTGTTCCGATATCTCAGGGGTTACCACAAAGAAGAGGGAGTCAAGCTATTCTCCAAAGTACAGAAAGCAGGACAAGAAGCAATGGGTGGAAACTAATCAAGGAGAGAAGCAACCAAGAACTAAGGAGGAATTTCCTGACAGAACAATTAATTCAGTGGAATGACTTGCCTTCAGCAGTCCTCCGTGCTCCTACATTGGAAGTCTTTAAGAAAAGATTGGACAACCATTTGTCTGAAATGGTATAGGGTTTCCTGCCTGAGCAGGGGGATGGACTAGAAGACCTCCAAGGTCTCTTCCAATTGTTTTTCTATTCTATTCTCATACAGTGTTGGTTTATTTTGTTATTTAGGTGATGTTGCAGGTTTTATCCTTAAAGTGTTATAAAGTCAGTTAAGTTTAGGCTCAACAAGGGATAAATTAAATCATGTTAATAAATGCACAAATGCACTCAAACAAGTAAGTACACACACAGTTATGCACATGTGTACATTAGGATTTCTTATAATCAAAGAGCATATTATTTCTTGAACCAAACTGGACTTTAAAGGCAGCTTTATAAAACTTAAGCAGCACATCAGTCATTTCTTATAAAACTTACAAACAGCACATTTTCAGATACAGATGCCTCTGGTAGGCATGAATAAATAACTGGAAGATGCCTGAATTAGAAAATTGATTTCTCAGTTTCCAAAAATGATCATATCTGAACATCTGGAATTGCAGAAGTCATCTAAGAATTGCATGCAAGAGTCATGGCTTCATTTGTACTTCACCATCTTAAATAACTGCAAGAATGCTAAGTAAACTTTGCCAATTACCTTGTAAATGAATGTTGGCACTAGTATCTTCTTCCCTTTCAGAAACCGAGCCAGTGCTGGTTTTGCTTTTATCTTCAATGTCTACTTTTTCTTTTAATTTCTCATTGTGTTTTTTGTCACAGCACATTTGATTCTCTCTTTTGGGCATGCCATTTGAGACTCCTTAAAAAGAGAAACATGGAAGTTTTTAATTAAAGTCCAACAATTTTTGGGTATATTGCATCAGAATATAAATGGCAAAAATTCTGGCTTGTCCTCTATTACATTCAAAGTGAATGCCAAGAGATGCAAACATAATTTTTCACCGAGCAAAGACATTGGTCCAGACGTTTTTGCCAAAATTAAACAACCTGAACACCCAAAGAGCTATGGCAGAAGGGATCTGTTAAACAAATAATTCCCTCAACATTGTTCAATTATTTACAAAGTCTGCACTACTATTACTATTAATCTTCTCATCACTCCTTATCACCCATCCCCTCCCACTTGTATGACTGTAACTTTGTCGCTTGAATCCTTACGATTTATATTGACTGTTTCCTAGTATGATTCGATTGCTTATTGTACCCTATGACTATCATTAAGTGTTGTACCTTATGATTCTTGACTCTTGACGAATGTATCTTTTCTTTTATGTATACTGAGAGCATTTGCACCAAGAAAAATTCCTTGTGTGTCCAATCACACTTGGCCAATAAAGAATTCTATTCTATTCTATTCTATTCTATTCTATTCTATTCTGTTCTGTTCTGTTCTGTTCTGTTCTGTTCTGTTCTATTCTAACTTGCTCCTTTAAAAAGACTATACTTATAGGTGGAATTAAATACTATAAAATTAAATTAATTTGTGTAATCATATTTAGATTACTTGATTACTAATAGTAATAACACAAATAATATTCCAATTAAAAACACAAATGAGGGGGAAAATCCTTTGATTTTTTGTTACCGTGTTTCATTCCTGCACCACTTTTGTTTGTGCTGGAATGGAAATGCATTGCACCGTAACTGGAAAACCCATATGGTGGGTACCCATATCCTAAAAGAAAAGAAAAAAGATTAAAAGTCACTTCATTAATGTAGCTTTTTTCAGATGAACGGGATTCACAAATGAACTACTGATTCAAATCTATTATTAAATAGTTCCAAGTGACAAAATTATCTGGAGCATGTCTTGATCTGATGAATCTCTATGGAAATATGTACTTTTTTTGTTTGTGTCAGGGGAAAAATCCAGATTATAAGTAATAAAAACAAATGTAAAGAAGGCATTTTCTCATCTTTTAAAGTTAAACAGTAGCATGCTTATAACATATTTCTGTTATGTGAAGTGCCTAAATATAGACTATACTGATGGTACCGTGTTTCTCACAAAATAAGGCCGGGCCTCATTTTCTTTTGACTCCCGAAAAAACGGCTAGGCCATCTTTTCAGGGTTGACTTAATTTCCCCCCCTTGCATCCTCGAGTGGGCGGGCGGCGACGGCTTGGATGTTGACCTCGGCGTTGGTGGGCCTGAGGCAGTGATAGTGGCCACCCATCCGCGGACAGGGAGGCGAGGCAACTGCAGCGCTTCTTCCCTGGCCGGCAGGTCCGGCGGAGAGAGCCCGAAGCTGCCCGTCCTTTCCACCCCTCACTCAGCCCGTCCCCACGCATCTCCAAATGCGCTGGCAGCTCCAAACGCTGCCGTGGCATGGGCATCAGGCAGAGGTACTGACTCGGCGGGGCTCAGCTCGGAGGAGGATGCGGCGCAGGCCGTCACCTTGTCTCCCTGTCTACGGATGGGTGGGCACTATCTTTGCCTCAGGTGGCCTCTCCCAGTGGCCCCTTTGGGTTCGGCCTGGAGGGACTTGGGAAGGAAGCCAAGCTCGGGTCGGCCCGGCTCTTTCGCTTAGCAGGCAGGCACGCACCCGCAGCTCACTTTCCCGGCTCTGCCCAGCCTGCACGGCTCTGGCGTGGCCCTGGCGGGATGAGTAGAGGGCCTGGCAGGGAGGTGCTCGCTGCCTTGGTGAGAGCTCTGCTGCCGGGCAGGAGGGCCTGCCTGTCAGCTGCGCTGGGCACCCCAGGCGAAGCTCTTCACGCTCTGCCCGGCGCCAGGCAGGGATGGCAACTGGGCGCTTCTCCCGGGGTGGGCCGATCCTGCGCTGCGGCCCCGGGAGATTTGCCTCCCCATGTGGAGTTGGGCTGCCCTCTCGGGCGGGGGAGGCTTTGTTGTACCGGTAGTAGGGCGTCGTTTTTAAAAGAATTGGCTTTGCCTTTGAAGGCAAAGGGAAGGCGGCAACAGGAGCGCCTGAAGCCGAGTGTCTCCACCGGGCTCCGGTTGCAGGGAGGAGCCCTGGCTGGCTGTGAGTGGCTGCGCCAAATGCCGCAGCGTTGCTCTAAACGCCACGGCAGCATGGGGAGAAGGGAAAGCAACGGTGGCGGAAGGTCTCCTTATACGAAGTGCCCCACCAATGCCAAAGTCAACGCAGGCAGCACCATATCCAGGTATGCAACAAAAGTACTTCCTAACAGCAATCCACCCCCGCCATTCCCCCCCATTTTGCATGTTTAATATAGGCCTTAATTTGGCAGGAGGGGTTTAATTTGCTTTTATGCCGATAAAACATGCTGGGACTTCCTATTGGGGGAGGCCGTATTGTTGGAGAAACACGGTAGTTAATTTGAACAGGGGTCTCCAACCTTGGCTGGGGAATTCTGAGAGTTGAAGTCTGCTAGGCTTAAAGTTGCTAAGACTGGAGACCCCTGGTTTAGAATCAGCACTGTATGGGACCACAGATATAAAACATAACTCCTTAGTTCTCTAAATCTCCTGCAAAACAAAACCCACTTTATCATAGTCACAATCCAAAAATGAAAGAAAAGCCACTTCCCAATGCATCTTACATTATTCATTCATAATTCCATCAATATATTTCTTTACCTGATCCAGCACTGCTGCCACCTCCTCCTCCTCCGACTCCACCATACATCCCACCTCCTGCAGCACCTGCGCCACTTCCGCCAAAACTATCGGAGAAGTTCGGCATGAGTTTCTGTCGTTTCCTTAGCACTTCTTCTTTATCTACATTTTGGACAAAAATAATATAAGAGAGATGTAGCCAAAAATCTGAAGTCACATTCATTTGTTTCAGAAGGCAATGGGCTATCAAATAGGAAACAACGTCTGCTGCTACTGCTGTACATTACATAAATACAAGTTGAATTCTCCCATTTTGTATGAGCGTGACTGTATAAATACTGAATTAAAAAGATACTCCCTGAAAATAAGACCCTGTCTTATATTTTTTGCCACCAAAAAGGTACCAGGTCTTATTTTGGGCAGATGCTATCCACTGACTAACCTCACTTGCAGGCATCACCCCCGGTCTTCTTTTCACTGTCAGAGGCCTTCAGGAACTTCTTCTGTGGCTAGCAAGGCCGCAGATCGATCCGGAGCTTTGTTATCAGCTATAGAGGCCTTCAGGAAAGCCTTGCCAGCCTTGCCGACCCATTTCTTCTGCAGCCAGCAAGGCTGGCAAGGCTTTCCTGAAGGCTTCTATAGCTGATAACAAAGCTCTGGATTGATCCAGAGCTCTGTTATCCGCTGCAGAGGCCTTCAGAAGTGGGCCAGCAAGGCAGGTTTCGGGGTGTGCGAGGCCTGGCTACAACTGTCCAAAGGTAAGTAGTAGGACAGCTCCATCCTCCCATTCCCCACCCTAGCTTAATTTTTACCCGTGCACTCTGGAGTGGGCAGGATCTTAATTAGGGCTTATTATGGGGGTAGAGCTTATATTGGGCACACATGTAAAAATCAAGCTAGGACTTATTTTCAGGTTAGATCATATTTTCAGGGAAACAGGGTAGTTGTGTAACAATTTTTTAAAATAAGCCCTTGTATAATGGAGATTCTGAAGCCCTATTTCAAGGAACCCTGGACATCCTCTTTCATTGTGGGGTACGAAGTTTGGGTCAAGATAGGGAAAACTGAGGCACAGCCTATTATATAAGTTGTCATAGTAGACTGATATGAAGCAAACTCTGTTATTTAAGTATATATTTGGCTATCTGACCAGGATGTGGCAACAATAATTAGATTGGGACTGGGTTAAGGACTTCTGTCCTCACTGTGAGTTGTGTTGGGGATGTGTGCATGAAGGGAGGCTTATCCAATCTCATTATACACATGTTGTACTCTAATAATAAAGGTAATAATAACAAATTACAGACCTCCTCACCAAACCAGATTTAATAGGTACCTAGGATTCTTTGATGATCTTATAATCTGAGCAGTTGGCTCAGCTGCTTTCTCACACTAATGTTTTATTCAAGTTTTATAACATTCTTTTTTTTCTCCTGTACTTAAACGTTTTCTTCCTTTCCAGATATATTCCTTCCCATTTTCTCTTTCCTTTAATAATGAATTGCCAAATGTATTTCAGGAACTATGTTGATCCCAGCGCAGAGCATGGAATGTTTATTGTTACTTAATCACTAACATTTAATTAAAAACCATGACAGTGAACTGGCTGCAACATCTGTCAGCTGTTTGTTCAGCTGATCTGGTTCCCTAGGTGGGTGTCCCCTTCCTCCTGATTGCTCCATGTGCGTCTCTCCTGAAGCTGTGTGCTTGGTGAAAGAGGACAACCATCTAGATCAGGGGTCGCCAACCTTTTAGACCTCAGGGACCACCAAATTCATAATTTTAGATCCCAGGGACACTAACTGGTTCTGTGGGCGTGGCCTAATTTGTGGGTGTGGCTTGGTGGTCATGTGACTGGCTGGGCATGGCTTGTATGTAAATATTATAAATATTTATATAAATATTGAGTTTTTTTTATAAAAAAGAGCAACTTTTATCCAAAATCAGGCAAAGCAGGCAGATTTAATTGCTTACAGAATCACAGATTCATTCAGAGATCTATCTATCTGCCATTGTCTAGCTCAGTCTGTCACATAAAATTTGCTAGCAAGCAAACTCACAAAATTAACTCACAACACACAATGCATGTCAATATTGAATTTTTTATTTTTTTAAAAAGAGCAACTTTTACCAACATCAGGCAAAGCAGGCAGATTGAGTTGCTCACAGAATCATTCAGTGATCTATCTGCCATCGGCTAGATTAGTCTCTCAAATTTGCTTGCCCTGAGTCTGCACTGAATTTGCTTGCAAGCAAACCTTCAGTCCGAAGGGAAGTTCAGCTGTGCTTAAAAGCAGAGCCAAAGATCTAAAGACTAGCTAGAAAGTAAGAAATCCAACCATTTTTTGCTTCCTAGCTAATCTAAATCTCCTGGCAGAGCAGAACAGATGATGGTTGGAAAAAGGAAAAATAGCAATTTAGCAGGCAAGTTTGTCGGGTAAGGAGTGAGTGGGTGGGGAGGGTTCCCGCGTGCCATGTGAGCGGCACAGCCTTGTGTTTCTGCGCAGCCTGGATTAATTGCTTTGTGGAGGTGCTCTGGGGGTGAGATTTCTCATGGCCCACCAGTTGGCGACCGCTGATCTAGATCAGAGGTGTCAAACATGTGTCATCACAGTGGTGTCACATGATGTATCGTGACTTCCCCTCCTTCGTTAAACTGGGCGTGGGCATGGCCAGTGCATGACGCATCCAGCCCGTGGGCTGCGAGTTAGACAGCCCTGATCTAGATAGAAGGAGTTAAAACCTTGTTTTCTTATAGAGAAAAAAAAACTTCTGCATTGTGAAAGGATAGAGCATTCAAAATAGGTCATGGAAGATATATATCCTAGGGCAGGGGTGTCAAACTTGATTTCACTGAGGGCTGCATCAGAGTTGTGTTTGACCTTGGGGGGCCATAGCCGGGATGCGTGTGGCCAGCTCAACTTCACTCTTGTTGGGGGGCACCTGTAGTGGCCAAGTGCTAAGGCAGGACTTCCCTCAGACTCTCCTTCCCTTTTATTCCTCCCTCCCTCCCTTTTCTTCTTTTTTCTTCCCTCTTCATTTTCCTTTCTTTTCCCTTCCCTTCTTTCCTTATTTTTCCTTCCTTGCTCTCTTGCCATCTTTCCTTCTTTTTTCTTCCCTCTTTGTTTTCCTTTCTTTTCCCTTCCCTTCTTTCCTTATTTTTCCTTCCTTGCTCTCTTGCCATCTTTCCTTCTTTTTCTTTTCTTTCCTCTTTCCCTTTCTCCTTTCCTGTCCTTCTTGGATGCACAAATGCAAAAGGGGAAACATTTCTCCTTTTGTTTTCTTTAACTTTTAGTTTGCTATGCTAGCCCTCTGCCAGCAAAAACAGAGCATGGGAGGATCGCATGTAGCCCTCCCAGGCCTGGCTTTTGGCCACGACAGCCTCCTGCATGCCTCTGTCAGCGAAAACGGAGCCCAGGAGGGCTGCGCGCTGGCAAAGGCACCATGAACGGGTCCTTTGCTGTTTCCAGGGTGGCCCCGTGGGCCAGATCTAAGCACCCCATGGGCCAGATCTGGCCTGCAGGCCTTGAGTTTGACACCCCTGTACTAAACAGCAAAATGACAATGATGGGATGAGAGCTACTGAATAATAAGCATTCTGTGTGCGTCCAAGCCACTCCTAAAAGTCCTTTTATTTATCTTAAAATCTTCCAATTAATTCTAGGCAAAAAAGAAGCCTAATTGAATTATGATTTAAACCAGGATATGAACAATGCATAGGTCAAGCCATATACTAGCAGCTAAGACAGTCCTCAGACTAACTTACAGACTAATCCTACTTCCCCTCTGATGATCCTAATCTTATTTCTTTGGTTAAAAGGATATAAATTGAACCATATTCATGGAACTAAAAGCAGTCAGTCCATTAGGTCCAACATTGGAGGCAAGGCAGCAATCTAAATTAAAGCATCTAAAACAGATGGCTGCCCAGCCTCTGTTAAACATGACCAGTTTATAACATAACTAGTAAAGGCCACTATCTTTCTGAGTATCATGTTTCCCTGAAAATAAGACCAGGTCTTATATTTTTGAGGCCACCAAAAAAAGGCACCAGGTCTTATTTTCAGGGAGGTCTTATTTTTCTCATGTACCAGGAGACGGGGCGGGCGCAAGCTGCTCCTCATGCCTCACACCTTCTTGCCTAGATCTTGCCAGCAGCTTGGTCTACGAAACAGCTATCTGTGGGGGCGCTCCTGCCACTGGCTCCAAGAAGTATGGCCATTTTTGCAGCCGAATGAGGCTGCAAAAGCAGCAGGAGACCCCATGTGCCTCCGCGAAACAGCCGATTATCCCTGGGGCTTATTTTCAAGGTAGGGCTTACATTAAGCCAACCCCGCAAAACCAGGCCGGGGCTTATTTTGGGGGGTGGGTCTTATTTTCAGGGAAACACAGTAGAATCACAGAATCATATAACTGAAAGGAATTTTGGAGGACTTCTAGTCTAAGGCAGAAATCCTTATATCATCCCAGACAATTGTTTAAACAATTTGCTTTCTTGAAAACCTCCAGTGATAGAACACCCACAATTCCAGTGATGGAGCACCCACAATGGCAAGCTGTTCCATTGATTAAAATTATCACTGTCAGGAAACCTCTTTTCTTATACTTTAGCTTATACTGTCTTAAATGATTCTCCATAAAGGTTTTTCCCCTCTTGGATTAACACCCAGCCACCCAATTTAGGAGTACTAAAAACTAAGAATAATGTAAAATCAATACGTATTCCTAGACTTGGACAATATTCAACTAGTATACTTGCAACTTCATTAATCATTATAGTAAAGGCCTGATCACCAAAGTAGGCCATTATATCTGGGCAATTCCCCTGAGTGATACAGATAGATAGCCAACCAGTCCCAGGATAGTTCAATAGGTGCCTAGGGAGTTTTTGAAAGTTACTGCAAAGTTCAATCATATACCACAAAGATTTCTGAATCCTAAAAAAAGAAGTGTACAGAGTTCATCAATTCAGTGGTAAACCTGGAAATTCCCTAAAGCACATCACTTCCTGTCAGTTATGATAACAACTTATGAAGTATAAACCAACTGTTCCCTCATTTGTCCATCTCATCTACATGTTTTGCTTGTTATATATCAACCCTTTCACCCTTTAAATACTTTCCTCAGGTGTGATAGATTTCAGTCTTAAAAACTGATTTGAGGTCAGTTTTGCCTCTGAGTTTTTGTAAGAATGGAAGACTATCCAGTGGGAGAATATTTCAAGAATATTCTTGAAATAGAATATTGCTTTTGTTTATCTGTGTTCAATGCCAAGAATGAGTCTACTGTTTTGCAGACCACATTTAGTATACAGTCTGCATATTACTGCTGTGTATTTATTTCCAGGTTCATTCATTCATTTTCATCTTGCATATAATAAAACATTTGAAAGAACTGATAGTGTGCCATGTGATTACACATACCAGAATAATTAGTTATTAAATTATTTATTAATTTAAAAATTAGTTTATACGTACATTATTTATAAATTAAATTATTTTAACCAAGGTCTGCTCTACCTTTCTAATCCAGTACAGTGAACATAAATAAAATAGCTATGAGTGTTCCACAAACATTGATTATGGATAGAGGCATCTGGTGAAAATGAAGGAGTTCATATATGATTATCTGACATGTGATACCTTTACCAGAAAAGTAAAGATTCGCCACAGCATTGAAACTACAAATAGAGACTGAGTTGTTATTGAAAAAAAAGAGTCTGGGATGGGAAGCAAATTAAAGATACCTGAGAAAAACTGAGACATTTACAAGCTTCATCTCCTATTTGGGAACCTAGGGATCACTAGATCCTTTAAAAATGAACATGATTATAGCACGACTAGAATAATCAAAATTGAATGTGATGAGACAAGAAATACTTCTGAGAATATCCCAATTCTTTAGAAAATAAGTGAGCTATGTCTACCTCTAAGACGGAAAAATTTATAGTACTTTTAAAAATATAAATGAAACAATGAAGTAATAATAAAATTATTGAACTATAGGATCAAAATTATTTGACAACAATTAAAATGCAAATTTGCCAAATAGGACTCTTGGAAAAAGAATTTAAATATCAAACATGTCAGTTGTCAGTTTATTTTGTTCAAATAAATACTATGAGTGTGACATTATTTTTTACAAAATCACAGTGAATTTTTGAGAAACCAGTTTGATAGGTTTACACATTGAATCAATTTGTCATACATATTTACATATTGAATCAATAAACGAAATTTACATATTGAATCAATAAATGAAAAAAGCTCAAAAAGTCTTGCCTTTTTTGGTTATTTCTTTCTCAGCTGTATCAATATATACCATTCAGCCTTTTTAGACATACATAATTAAAGTAATTCGTGTTTCTATCAACTGCAATCAATAATACTCCATTTCTATTATCCAAGAATCAGTATTTTGTTCTTCCTGTTCCCCATTAATGTGACACATAGATATTTCACAACTGATATGACAATATTGCTTAAGATATTTCTTGTCAAAACAACAAAATCAAAACTCAGATAATAGATAAACATGAATTCATTCATTTCAGAAAGAGCTTATGACACTTTAAAAAATCCTGTGTTGATATAGCTTACTCAAATTGGTAAATAGTTATGGGTTGCTCTCAAGAAATTCAACTTGGGTGCATCTATTAAGAGCTTAAGACAGACATCAAGCTTAAGCTTCCCATCTTTAAAAGGCATGATAAAATCAAGTCAGTGTAGTTTTATTGCCTTTCTTCAGAATGGGGCCTGATTTTCACAATACTATAATCTTCAATTGCTTATATTTTTAACTTTGGAATTTGAAGAAATTATTGGCTAATTAGTGTGCACAGCTTTTACTACAACGTTTGGATGTTGTGAATGAAGAAAAATACTGTTAATAAACTAGTTATGGAGGGAAAGTTTTCACATCATCAGGAAAGAGATGTTGATTTCAGCTGCTATGTGTTTTGTTACAGGGAAATTAAATTGAACCCAGGAACTGGGAAGTTTACTGAGAATTCTGACTAATGGAAAAGTAGCCCAAGGCCACAAAAGAAGGCCAGTGATGTAATTACAGTGTTCAAAAAGTTGCAAAGGCCACAAAAGAAGGCCAGTGATGTAATTACAGTGTTCAAAAAGTTGCAAATTTGAAAGTACAGAATGGCTTTTGTTGTTAGAGATGGAATAGCTTTTCCATTGTGGAAACTACCAGGTGGTGGAGCATTTTACTTGTGGCCTGGAAAAGAAATATGGGAAGCTTCTACAATAACCACCATCATCACTAAACCTTCCAAAATATTTCCATACAAATAGTCCTCAACTTAACACAATTGAGTCCCCAATTTTTGTTGCTAACTGAAACATTTGATAAGTGATTTATGACATTTCTTGCCACCGTTGTTAAGTGAATCACTGCAGTTGTTAAGTTAGTAACACAGTTGTTAAGTGAACCTGGTTTCTCCGTTGGCTTTGCTTGTCAGAAGGTTGCAAAAGGTGGTCACATGACTCTGGGACACTGCAACCATCATAAATATGAGTCAGTTGCCAAGCGTCTGAATTTTGATCATATGACCATGGGGATGCTGCAACAACGGTCATAAGTGTGAAAAACGTTCACTTTTTTCAATGCTGTTGTAACTTTGAAGTGTCACAAAGTGAACCATTTAAGTCAAGCAGTGGTGGATTAAGGCTCACTGGTGCCTTAAGCACTGACAAAACTTGGTGCCCCCCTTTGTACATACTGTGCAAACGAAGCCATATTCTCAACTTTGCGGTGCCCCCTTTGGGCTTAGTCTGCTTAATGATTAATACACCACTGAGGTCAAGGACTATGTGTATATTAGCAGGTTTGCATGATACTGGTATTTTTATCTCATGTCATTTAGGACTTTCATCCCTTATTGACTACTGTATTAATTCTATTTTTTATTAATGGACAGCATGTTAAATCCAGCAACAATTTATTGGCAACGCTATTATTCTAATATTAACTAATATGCAACATACTACAATAGGTAGAAGAATTCCAACACCAATGGTTTTCTAAAAAGATGCATGTCTTCTACAATATGCAATATAACACAGCATTGATAATTACCTTTGATTTCAGGATAGTACAGAAAAGGTTTTGGTTCACTGGTCTCTAGATCTGATTTTCGCCGTAATTGAACAAATACAGATGCTGCTTTTGTGATGTTGACATCTCGATACTTCGGTGTTTTGAATACTATTGCAAACTGTAGGCAATCATGATACAGATGATCAAGATAAGAATGGGAAAATGTAACAATTTATATATTTAATATATTTGCATATTATATTATCTTCTTTGTAGTTTATACATCTCTATATATTAATTACTACTTCATTGAAATAATAGGAAGTTAACTCTGATCAGGTTTTTAAACCCTGTGAACTGTTAGAAATTAAAGAGCTCACATTAAAACTTGTTGTATACGCTATCGCTATAATTCCTTGCCAAAAGAACTTACCTGTCTGTGCACATCAGTAGGTGAAAAGTCTCCAAAACCTTCCCAGACACCACCACTTTCATCTTCTTCATAAAAACGGATTTGAATATCATCTGTAAGTGAGAAAACATGAATCATGATTCATATTTACCCTCTGCTTTAATGCAGGAGCGGGAATCTCAGGTCCAGGATGACTTAAAATGGGCTGGGTTGGGTTGCAAAGACTATATTGTTTCAATTTTACATTCACTGTCTAGATCCAATTTAAAGCATGGTTAATTGATTTTTAAAGTTGTGATAACATTCTTCCAGACATTTCCTGAGACTCTGTGTGTGCTAATAGCCAAATGATGTGTGGTGAATAATTACGCAAAATGTCTTTTTGTAGAAACATTTCTAAGTTGCATCCAAATCTGGAAACAATTTGTCTGTTCCATCGCTCATCCACCCCAATTCTTTTGTCCAAAACAGAAAACAGATGTTGGAAAACTTTAGATTCTGAGTAGGCCAGCATTAGTCAATCCAGAGTCTCTTGCCCTCCCTCAAGAAAACCTTACCATTTTATGTCCTAGATAAGAATGTATGGCTACAAAGCAAGCTGTTTGCAAATAAAGTTGAGAAAACAAAGTAAAAGCTAATGATTTTCTTTTTCCCTATTCTTAAGCTGTCCATCTGATATAAGAATGCAAGTTTTTTTTAAATCATCAAAGCCACATGGCTAAAGAATCAGGAAGTATTCTGGTAAATTGCAGGAATCTGGTTCTGTATTTTACAGGTGAATTTTAATAGGATTAGAGAAGTGGAGGTTGGAATAAAATTGTCAAAAAGGAAGAGTATATTCCTGTCCATCATACCGATGTAATAGGAGCCTGTTTGGTCTAGTGGTTAAAGCACCAGACTAGAAATCAGGAGACGATGAGTTCTAGTCCCACCTTAGGCACAAAGTCAACTGAATGACTTGGGCCAGTTAATCTCTGTCAGCCAAGGAAGAAGCAGGTAAGGGCAAACCACTTCTGAAATTTCGCCAAGAAAACTGCAGGGAATTGTTCAGTCAGCAGGAATCAACACTGACTCAAAGACCTACGCGCGCACACACACACACACACACACACTTTTGTCTGGATGAAATTGAAGAGAATTATATGTGATACTGGAAGAAGAGCCTGTCCTGTAGCACTGGAGATGGAAAAATTCCCCTTGTTGCAATTGTGGTATTGATATACAAACTATTAAACATATTGTGCAAGATTGCCCACAAAGTGGGTTTGGTTCCCTAGAAGAAGTGTACGAAACAACCATCAAAAGCGATTGCCTAGATAGCTGATTTAGACATTCAATTATGAGGCCACTGCTGTACCCCTGTAGAAGTTTTGTATAGAATTCTGTGGATTGTGTGCGTATGTTTACTTCTTTTCTATCATTTTCTCATCATATGCTAAATACTGAAGTAACCATGTGAAGAACAGAAATAAAATACAAGATCTTCAAAACTATGGAAAAAGTTGGAAGGGTTGGGGAAGCAGCAAATTAATTGGACTCATTAACAAAAGTATTACCGTCCAGGAAGGGAAAAGAGTTTAGGATAGGGGTTTTCAAACTTGACAGCTTTATGACTTGTGGACTTCAACTCCCAGAATTCCTCCTCCAGTCATGTTAGCTCAGGAATTCTGGGAATTGAAGTCCACAAGTCTTAAACTTGCCAAGTTTGAAGACCCTTGGTTTAGGATATCCAAAACTATGAAGTGTTCCCAAATGGATTGTCTTATTGGGAAAAAGTGCAAATTTGGAGTTAAAAAATCAACTCCAGTGTCAATGTAATCCAATTGTGCAGGAAGAACCTTAATGATTCTAAAATTGTTGCTTTTTCTTCCTATCTTGCATCCTAATGCTGGAACCCTATATAAATATAATAAAAAATTATAGATTGTGCACAACAATCACAAACATTTAGGTAACAAAGATTATTATATTTTCTTAAGAAATCTGGGAAGCACTAAGCTGTAGCACCACAAAAATGTATTGTTAGTTAATGTTTCCTTTTTTTCTTAATTAATTAAAATAAACCAGTTTATAGTGGCTACTACAACAAGTTCAATGTAGCCTATGTCAAAAATTACATAGATGTAGAGATACAGTTCCCATATACTTGGGGAACGTTTAAATGGAGAAAATTTGTGGGCTGTCAACTCTGATAAACTTATACTTTTTAAAAAAAGTTGGCCAATTTTTCCTGTTACTAATTATGCAGAGTTTTTGATAATAGATTCTATATCAAATTCTTTAATATAGAAGTGTTTATTGATAAAAAAAAGTATCACATTTCTCAGTATACATTGAGATATTTCAATTAATGCTGTTGCAAGGAAAAACATACTTGCTAAGGGAAAACCCCACTTTGGAGTTTCCATTTACTCAGAGTCTTATTTAAATCACTGAAGAAATTTCTTTCACTTCCCTATCTTGGATTGGGAAGGACTTTGTCAGACTTGATATCTTATTTTTATCATTTACAAAAATCTATTCTATACTAATCTCTCTTATTACTAATTAAAATCAAATCAATTTTTGGGTTTCGAATAATTGCAAATTTCCAGTATATAGAAGCAACAACATGATTATATAACTATGTTCAAGCATGATAGATGCAGTGTTGAGTTCTCACCCTTTTGGACTTTGTCACAAAGTAGGTAAACTTCTTCTCCCCCTGTTACACAGCCTGCAGTCCGATCCATCCGTACAATTTTTAAATTGGATGCATTTGGAGCTTCTGGGGAAGAAAATTAAAGAAAGAATTAAGTCAACTTCTAATTACTTCAACAAGGATTTTGTCCCAATTTGGCTATATCATCTCCAAAACTGCTATTACAAAATATACAACAATAATCCATAGAGCAGGGGTGTCAAACTCAAGGATCCAGCCCACAGGGTGCTTAGATCTGACCTGCGGGGCCAACCTGGAAACCGTGAAGGACCAGCCTGTGGTGCCTCTGCCAGTCAAAATAGAGCTCAGGAGGTCCACGAGTGGCCCTCCCCAGTTCAATTTTCGGTGGCAGAGGGTTGCAGGAGACCATCACAGTTGAAAATGGAGTTTGGTAGCCCATTATCGCTGGTAGAGTGTTTGGGCCACCACAGGTGCCCCCAACATGAGTGACATTGAGTTGGCCATACCCATCCTGGCCACGCCTACCCCAGCCCCTCTAAAGTCAAACACAACCCTGATGCAGCCCTAAATGAAATCAAGTTGACATCCCTGCCATAGAATAAAATAAGAGAATATTACAAATAGTCCTTGATTTACGACCAATTGAGCGCAAAATTTCCTTTGCTAAGCAAGACAGTTGTTAAGTGAGTTTTGCCCCATTTTACAACCTTTCTTGCCATGATTGTTAAGTCAATCACTGCAGTTATTAAGATAGAAACATGGTTGTTAAGTGAATCTGGCTTTGCCATTGACTTTGCTTGTCAGAATGTGGCAAACAATCATTGCAACTGTCATAAATACATATGCCAGTTACCAAGTGGCCAAATTTTGATCACATGACCACAGGGATATTGCAAGGGTTGTAAGTGTGAAAACCCATCATAAGTCTTTTCTGGTTTTTTTAAATGTAAGCCTTTCATATCCTTTTCAAAATGTTAATTGCCCATGCCTGAATATTCAATCTTGCAACAAAATCTTACCCTGTTTTGCCGAAAATACGACTTACCCTGAAAGTAAGTCCTAGCTTGATTTTTACACATGTGCCCACTATAAGCCCTACCCCCCAAATAAGCCATAATTAAGATCCCACCCACTCAAGTGCATGAGTAAAAATTAGGTTAAGGTGGGGATCGGGGTGGTGGTGGAGCTGCCCTGCTACTTACCTTTGGACAGTTGTAGCCAAGCCTCGCACACTCCGACACCTGCCTTGCCAGGCATTTCTTCTGCAGCCGGCAAGGCTGGGAAAACTTTCCTGAAGGTCTCTGTAGCTGATAACAAAGCTCCGGATTGATCCAGAGCTCTGTTATCTGCTGCAGATGCCTTCAGAAAAGCCTTGCCAGCCACAGAAGAATAAATTCCTGAAGGCCTCTGACAGCGAAAAGTAGGCCAGGGGCAACGCACGCAAGGGAGGTTAGTTAGTGGATGACATCCCCCCAAAATAAGACCTGGTGCTTTTTTTGGTGGCAAAAATATATATAAGACAGGGTCTTATTTTCGGGGAAACATGGTACTCAGACTGGGATTTCGCTACAGAATGGAAAGAAAAGTCAAAAGACACTCACTGCTGTCATATATAGGGTCAGACAAGACAGGCTGAAGTCTCCTTGTAAAGCTACCAGTGCTATCAGGAAGGAATGCAGTGAACATGAGACGTACAACGCTGAGATCCATCTCCTTAGTCTGCTGATGTGCTGCCTGACGAATGATATCTCGTTCTCGTTCTGCAAACAGTGGAAAAGAGTATAGATTATTGTAGCAAGGTGTCTTTTAATGGCGGTAATGATAAGTGAAAGGGGAAGCAGTCACAAAAGTTGAATTAAGAGGACGTCTAACCATTTTAGTGCAGAAAGCAAGAAGGTCAAATGGAAGCCAAAGTGAATAAAGATATATTATATTCAATGTGACAATTCTTCTGAACAGTTTTTTTTTAATCTGCTCAAACCTTCTCAAGCATGCCCACACACAACACTGCTATTTCTTCAAGAAATATAGGAAATTCCACAAATTCCCCATTCAGTTCAAAATCACCCACCCAGCTATTTGACATGCAAAGGAGTTTGAAGAAGAATTACATTATGCACGCTTAATGCTAAGCATTACTTTGACCAAGAGATAAAGAAAAGGAGTGGAAAATGTTCAAAAATGGGAGAGATCCATACAACAGAAATAAAACCTGAAAAAGAATCAAAGGAATATGCACCGTAAAAGAAATTATCCCCCCACCCCTCCAACTGAACTGTATATTAACAATTTTGAAGGAATGTCTATGGAGATTCTCAGTCATCCAGGTCATGGTTGTCCCAAATGTGCTTTTTTTCAAGTGGCAACTAGACTTTCTGTTTTTTCTTTGAAGACGTTTCACTTCTCATCCAAGAAGCTTCTTTAGCTGTGACTGGATGGCAGGGAATGGAAGGATTTATACCCCTTGCAGACAGCTGGACATTTGCATTCTTTTAGTGGGTCATTAAGGTCACCTGGAGGTTTATCTGTGTCATCAGGGTCACCTGAGTGGTGCAAATTGGTGTGGAGCCTTCTTGGAACTGTGGAAAGGATTGTGTTGTAGATTGAAGATAGATGATGTTGTACCCCTCCCCCTCTGCTGAGAGAGGGCTGTTCAATCTACAATCTACAGTCCTTTCAACCGTTCCAAGAAGGCTCCACACCAATTTGCACCAGTCAGGTGACCCAGATGACACAGATAAACCTCCAGGAGACCTTAACGACCCACTAAAAGGATGCAAATGTCCAGCTGTCTGCAAGGAATGTAAATCCTTCCATTCCCCACCATCCAGTCAGAGCTGAAGTATTTTCTTGGATGAGAAACTAAACGTCTTCAAAGAAAACCAGAAAGTCCAGTTGCCTCTTGAAAAAAAGCACCTTTGGGACAATTTTAGAGGAAGTACTGTATCATTTTTTTCTTCATTGTTGATCATAAAATATGATAAAAAAGAGACAATTGCTTACTCACTGTAATGATAATGAAGAGGAATTAAAAATAGCATTTATTTCACGTGTGCAGAGATAACTCTCTACCTACCTGTTAGCTGCCTCTCCTCTCCACCTTCCACTTGTATATAATTGAGATCGGGGTGAACGAGGAGTCCTGGATTGTACCCTTTTTTACATGCATCAATCATGCGCATTTCCAGTGTGTCTAATACTTTTTTCTTTGTAACATGTAATATTCCCAGGTTTGGAAATCTGTAGTGAAGTACAAATCATTATATAGACATGATTATACCTTCTCATGTCTAAAATATTACTGTTTACCCTTATCCCAATCAACATACAGTATTTTCTCTGGCCTTAATAATGCAATCTCTGTTGCATTGCCTATGTTTCTTCAACTATTTCTATTTTTGTAAAGCTAAAATGTTTAGGCATTAGACCATAACTAAAAAGACCCAGGTTTAAATGCCACACAAGTACTATCTATAGTTCACACCATGGTCTTGAACCAATAACTTCCCTAAATGGGCTATTGCAAGCATGTAATGAGACGTGGAAAGCAAATAAATTCCTTTGAGCAACTTAGAGGAGGGAAAAATCTATAGCCAATAAAAAATGACTGGATAAATTCACCAAAAGCCTTTTTAAGTGTGGGAAAGGTTTTTTGGGCTTGTGTTTCAATAGCAAGAGAGCATCAAATAAGTATGATGTTTGTATAAGTTAAGTATGCTTAATTTAAGTATGCTTAGCAAGAATATGATAAAAATTTCAAGATTGGAAGCAGAATTGCACACAACAGATCTTGCACTCAATTTGATGACAGAGTGATTCTTAACATCAAAAGAATGAGTCTTTCAAGTCTGAGAAGCAGCTTCTATCTGGCTAATTTCCCCCCAGGATTTTTTTTTCTGTGTGCGTATGCGCCTGCCTGTGTGCGCATGTGTATTTCTAAAATCTTTCTGGAGAACATCAAACTAGCATTTATCTGAAACCTAATCCAATCCTAGGAACAATACTATGCATACTTTAGTTGCTCTTTCAAAAAAAGGTAGAAGATTAACTAGGATTTAATATTCCCTTTGTTATTTTGTTCTTGGAATGCAACAGTTCAAGGAATCCAATGTTTATGTCAACGTCATAATGACTTTAATCTAACTTGAGTAAGAGATATTCATTTAATTTACAAAAGAAGAAAGAGGCTAACCTACAAAATTAGGGAAGTGTGGGGAGAAGCTTCCAACAAAATAGAAAAACCTGGAAATTGAATTTAGGAAATATACTTGGGGGAAAGGAAACGTCTCCATAAAAATTCTGAATTCTATTTTTTTGCTATTCAGTTATTAATCAGGCAGCTTTGAATAAGAAGTTAATAATCAATTTAGTTCTACATCTGAAAATCAAGAAAAAAAAATAACAGGAAAACTGTTGAAAAAAATAATAATTAAAAATAATTGTTGCAAGTGTTATATATTTTAAAAAGGGATTATTATATTATTTGCTAATTACATCTGGATAGCTATTTCAGAATAATGAAACATTTATTTCTCTCAATACTTCAGTGGGTTTTTTTCATAGTTTTCAAGCTAGACAAATATAATGAAACAGTGACAAATACATGACTATTATTATATATGACTAAAGTATTATAACATTTTGTTTCTCTATCATGACATACACAATCAATTTCAGTTCATTAGGCAAGCAGATTCACTAGTAGCAATAGCACTTAGATTATATACCACTTCACAGTGCTTTGGCAGTCAGCAGAAGTAGCCTGCAGTACTGCATTCTAACCACTGTGCCACTGCGGTTCATAATAATTTGAAGCCTTCTCAACAAAGCACACTAGAAATAACAATAGCAATAACAAAAACCACATTCCCATCGGAATTTGACTGTATCTTAAGAGTGAGCTCATGCATACATGGGTATGCCCTAAAGATATACTTCATCACAGATTACATGTATAGCAATCCTAAATGAAGGATAATCATCCGGATTTTATTATATGATATCCATTTTTCTTCTTGTTCTACTAGAGACTGATTTCAACTACAAAAATATGTAAATTGTCACTATGCACGTACAGAATTTCCCATCTCTTCATATTCTAATTGCTCATCTTCTTAATATATATAACAAAGACGGTTTACCATAAATTAGAAAAGTGAGCCAGAGTGAACATTGAGTGGATAAAAACTGTAGGTAAAACTGAATCTACAGATCATAATTATGGAGAAATTGTACTTTATAAGGACACTACTTACTTACTTACCCTACTACCATGTCCTTTGGTCCTGCATTTACTGTGCAAACTCCCTGCTCACAGTGTTTTCCTACCAAGCTGTGAGCGTGCAAGTGGACATGTTTTCCATTTGTGACTAACTGCACTATTACTTTTGCAGGTCCAGCATAATTGCAGATCTGTAGGAAGCAGAATAAACACTTTTATCTCTGAGCAATTATTCCTCTGTTCTGATTTTATATTGATTTTTTAAATGTATTACATGTGGGTGCTTGCATGTTAGGAATGTATTTAAGCCACCAAAGACACTGTAGAGTAGTGGTCCCCAACCTCTGCAGCTATGCGCATGTGGCCCAGCTGAAGGGGGAGGGGAACTAGGTTGTACTAGTAGTGGGCCAGTGCACGCAGCTCAACTCATGTGAGCGGTAAGCCGGTCCACATGCGCATAGCTTAACCCATGTGGATGGCAGGCCAGTTCGCATGTGTGCAGCTTAACTCTCATGGATGGTGGGTCAGTGTGCATGTGCACAGCTTAAGTAACACAAGTGACAGACCGATGCACATGGACACAAGTGTCTACCGGCCTGCCGCTCACACAAGTTGAGATGCACACATGCACATGTTGGCACTCCAGCCAGCTCCTCGCACAGCCCAATTCTGCATAGGCCATGGCCCAGTAGTGAGCCACGGGGTGGGAGTTGGGGAGCCCTGCTGTAGAGTGTGGAATAAATCTTTATTTAAAATTTAGGAAGAAATGTCAAATGCTAAGTGGCACAGATTTGAAATCAAAACAACAAAAGGATACTAATATTCATAAATAAACACAAAGTTCTGAAATAGTACATAAATAGTTTCAGAACATTTGGACAGCTTGGATGAAGGCACAGAGGAAGCTAAAAATCCTTTATTATTATAAGTTAAATCCAAGATACTCAAAATAAAATAGTAAATTAATTAGTGTGACATCCCCATGAATACTGTACACAACAAGTAATTTCATTGGAGTTAGAAATAAATATACCATTTATTTTTAATAATTTAATTTTAATCTGGATATTAAATAAAACAATGATAGAACTTCAAAGTTTTATAAAACAATACCACTTCTTTGGAAATACAACAAGCCTATGTTTAAATCATATTTTCCCAATAAGAAAGGCAAAATGGATTTTGAAACAAGACTTCTAATCTCTTATTACACTTTTATTTTGTTGTGATATTTGCTCTTTATTTCGGTCAAGTGAATCTGAATGCTAACAGTAGTAAGATAGTTTTATAGATCCTATCAGACTTTGCTCCAGCCTTTCATGCCTTGAATCTAGCATTCTTGAAACGGTTAAGATTTCTAAAATAAACTCAGACACCATCACCGATGAATACCATTTATTTTGAGTTAGAGGATTAAAATACATATATTAAATATATAGAGGGTTAAATGTATATATATCTAGGAGTATCAATTGGTGTCATCCCAGTTGAAGATGGTATGTATAAAACACACCAAATTAGTATATTCAAAATGTAAATATATAATTGGAAAAAAGCAATATATTTAAATTATGGAAAGCAGAAAGAATGCTTTCATAAGCCAAATATATTATTTTTGAAAACATTTATATCAAATATGTGTTTTAACATACATTTGAAAACCAGAAGGCTGATTCCTGGTGCTATAAATCAAAATATATACATACTGTTTTTATTAACAGTTTTCTTATGGTTAAAATAGAGAAGTATGAAGTTGACATAACAGAGAAGATATTTGTGGGCATTTTACAAAGTTCTGCTAATGAAGCAATTTAAAACTTTCTTGGAAATGGTCAGTTTTTACTATATGTTGCAAGCTTATTTTCAAAATGATATTCCTTAAACAAGAACAGGAAATGAAAAGGAAAACAGAAGTCTATATGAAAACTTTCACTCATAAATTCTGTGTGAAGAAATTCTGTCATGGTGATACCAAAAATAACTTTTATACTAACAGCAATGATTCCAATATAAGTTCCCCAGAATACAGACACACAAACCTAAACATATTATTAGCAAATGTTTTAAACATATTAAACTTTTTTAAAATGTTACATATTTTAAAAAATAACTTTTAAAAGTTTTTTTTAACTATCAACAGGCTCATTCAAAATCATTTCAGGTAGCTGTGGGCATCTGGTTCCCCACTATGAGAAGAAAATGCTGATGTCAACTCATAAAATATTTCTATGGTCTTTTTAGAGTTACCAACAGAAAGGGAGTGGGGAGCAGTGCAGTAGCTTGTAAACCGAAACTTCATTCCATAAATGTTTTCAAAGATAGTAACTAGGTGACTGATGTTTCTGCCACGCAAAATTCTAACTGGAGAGCATGACTGATGACTCTTGGCTATGGATGTGTCCCATTGGACAATATGAATTACGATACACACAGGGGGTGGGGGGAAACCAGGGTCAAGGATGACAATGAATTATGTGCCTCAGAGTCAGCTACACCCAGGCAGTACCGGACAGTTTAACTCCCAATAAATCCTTTTTAAGTTTTGGAAGTTTGGCTCGAGACTCATGATTTAAATGGGGGTAACTGCAGGAATCCTGACGGCTGAATTCTGATGGGATGGCTGTTGCTTCTTTTATGCTCTTATTTCCAATCCATCTGTGTTCATCTGTGCATTCAAATATTATTTATTGTTAATTGTACTTTTGATGAAGTAGTATTGTTTTTCTTTTTCCAACATTGTACAAAGGCAGCCCTACAATGTATAATATCTGTTACACTTTTGTCACCTGTATCAAGAATCCCCAGCCCCCAGTTTGTGGACTGGTACTGGTCTATGGCCTACCAGGAACTGGGGCGCACAAGCAAGCGAATCCTCATCCACTCATGTGCAGGATCCAGGTAGCACACAAAAACATGTTCCACCCCACCCCACCCCAGTCAGTGGAAAAACCACCCTCACCCTGAAGGTTGAGGGCCACAGACCTACATGTTGATACTGACTGATAACAGAAGTAATAAATGTAGGATGGGGACTGGCCATAGGAAAAGTATATTTAATACTTGTATAGTTTTCTACCGACTAAACAATAGCACTAGAGCTTGGGAGTGTGAAAGGTTCCCTGAATGCAATCCTAGTGTTGCCTTGTTTCAGTGATTCATTATTGCTTTCAAGTCCTTTTTGACTCCTGGCAACTACCTGGACATGTTTCTGCAGTTTTCTTGGCATTTTCACAAATGATTTAACATTTCCTTCTTCCTAGGGATTAGAGAGAGTGACTGGCTCCAGGTCACCCAGCTAGTTTCATGCTAAGGTAGAACTAGAACTCATGGTCTTCTAGCCCAAGGCTAGAGGTACTACACCAAACTGGATGCATGCTCTACTACAGCAAACCAAAAGGTGAGAAAAAGTGGGAAAAGCAAAAGCTGACTCTAACTCATTTGTACATGCAGTGTGATGCACAACTATACAAAGGGGTACAATTTATATTGTGATGCTAAAACGTTTGTTACGTACTTTTAACAGAATTACTGGATTCTGCCTTACTTTGTGGAATTTTAGCCACTACTTTCCTTTAAAAAGTACAGATTGTGCTTTATTATGACTTCCATATTCTCCAAAGATGGGATATTGATAATAATAAAAACCATAAAGTTTAAATTGGGGGGCGGGGCAGGATTTATGTATGTTGCTATCTGAAGTGACATCATTATAGTTCATTTGAAAAGATGGTGCTACATAAATCAACAGCACATTTTAAACACAGCAAACTCCAGAGAAACAAATTTATGTGAAGTATAATAATTATAGATCATGACAACTAATAATTATTCAGAACAATCTGAATAATTATTCAAAACAATTGGAGGTTTTTCCATTCGTGTAAATGAAGCACCTTGGTTGAAGGCAGACAGTCAGAAGGAAACAGAACACAAAATATTCCAGCTTCCAACTGGCTAAACTTGAAATAAAAAACAGGTACTAACAAGCTACTAAAGTAGCCTTAAGGAACTTCCCCATATTTATCTGCCAAACTCTCCTTGTAGGTATTGTTGTGTAAAGATTTATATAAATGAAAAGAAAGAAAATAGAAAAAAAGATATAATACTTTGAAATAAAAATAAAAAAGACTGATAGTGCACTTCTTATATGTCTATTCTGAAGCAAAACCTATTGTTTATCAGATTTTTCTCAGCTTAAAAAATACAGAATTGAAGACTGAGTAATATAACTATGATAAAAGATTAAAGGCAAGATGAAATAATAATGTGGGGAAATACCCATAAAAACCCCACATGGCTTACCCATTTCCATAGATATGAGAAAATCTCTGACATATTTTCCAAAAAGACCCAACATAAATGAAATAAACAAAAAGTTTATTTGTTCTAACGTTCTCAGAAAGTTATAAGAAATACAGTACATGTGAGGTCAACGTTGATATCTTAAGAAGAGCTATATTTACACATTCACAAACAAACCCTGTTAAGATATTGGGAGAAACAAACTTAGATCTGAATTCTGAGCCCCAAAAGATGTCCATAATTGACAATAACTAATGCTCTCTCCTGAATTACCCTATTTATCTCCTTGAGAAACATTTTTCTCTCTATCTTGGCTCATTTTTCATACTGGAGCCAATGCCAGAAACAGAAGTTCCTTCATAAAGATAAGGTAGGAGACAAAGAATAATCCAGCAAAGATTTCCCCTGTCCAGTTGTGTCTCACTCTAAGAGGCAATGCTCATCTCCATTTCCTAAATGTCTGTGAAGATTCTCAAACATCCAGATCATGGTTGTCCCAAAGGGCTTTTCAAAAGGCAAGTGGACTTTCTTAGTGCCCCCCCCCCGTTTTACAAACTAAGAAAGTCCAATTGCCTTTTGAAAAATCATTTTTAGAACTCTATTTCCTACCCGAGGAGCCAGTGTTGTCTGAAGACACTTCCATGGTCATGTGGCTGGCATGACTATATGCTGGGGTGCACAGAATGCTGTTACTCTCCTACTAAAGTGGTACCTGTTTATTTACTTGCATTTGCATGTTTACAAATTGCTGAGTTGGCAAGAGATGGGCAAAAACAGGAACTCACCCTTCCACACAGTACTTGGGTCTTGAACTGCCAACCTTCCAGTCAATAGCCCAGTGTCTTAACCACTAGGCCACTAGACCCCCTGAGTATAATACAGTTAACCTTAAAAAATAGATACCCATTTTATGTAGAAATAAAAGCATAAGATTGACTTATCACAATTATAAAAATAATAAAGATATCTCCAAGAAGCCAGTATAGCCTTATAATGAAACAATTGATAATTGTTTACATTGTGATTAAACATTATGGTCCTGTGTCTTTGTAACAGGAATTACAGTAAAAATATAACTTCAGAACACTGTAAATTATTGCTGCAGAGTTGAGTAGTTGCAAGGGTGATGGTATCATAATGGGTAATGTGCCATCCAAATATTGCCCAAATACATGTTAGGTGATGGCTTTGATTATGAGTTACAATCTCCATCTTGCGTGCCCTCAACTGCAGATATACCAGTCCAACATATCCAAACTTCTTGATGTTTCTCCATTGGTGTTAACAACTAGCGGTCTTTAAAGCTATTTTTTTCTCTAAAAATATGACTTATTTGATTCTCAGGAAAGAGCAGACGTAGTCCTCAAAGACATTTAAGTCACACATGCCAAACTCATCAATATGGACACATCCAGCTATGTGAAAAGTGCACCTATAGTATATTGATAATTCAGCTACAGCTGAGAGAAGATATATAACACTTTGGCTAAAACATGTAAAAGCACAGACGTCTTTACAGTAGACAACACATTTGGAAATAGTAGGATTTGAAAATTGATCTTTGTGATATTTTTTAAGGAAATGAATTGGATTTGCTTAACATGATGAAGTTATTTTTCTGCTTGTGAAGAGAAGCAAAGTAAGAATAAAAGGTCCACAATTATCACAACACAGTTGGATAAAAATAAACCAGGATGCCCCTGAATCTCAGCTTACTGTTTTATGAAAAAAAAAATTCAAGCTCAAAAAGATCTCAGTAATTGTGGATTTTGAATTAATTCTTGTCTGGCTAATTCTCATCCCTCACTTCTCAGTTATTGATACAATTGGGGATTTAATCTAATTTATCATTTTTTTCCAATGATGGCTATAAACTCCCATAGAAGGAACTTTAAGTAAAATCACTTCAGACAAACATACATTGTATTTTGAGCAGCAAAGTATGTCCTTTCTTATTCTGTAGAGTATCACACAAACAGATAATACAGTTATATGGTAATGTTAAATAAATATTAACTATATTAAACATAGTAGTTATATTATTAACTTACTTTAACTTGTGGGTAAGACTTCTTGTTCTTTTCACTAGAAGCTCCAGGAAGTCCACCATGGGATGGTCCTTCACAAACATAGCGGAAACGAAAGCCCCTCTAAGGAGATTAGTTTTGAAGAATTAAATAACATTTAATTAAAAATTCCTCAATAAAATAGATAAATCAATAATATCCTATACAGTACAGATAAATATTCACATACTTGTTTATTAAAATATGTACCTACTGTATATTTAAAATATCTACTGTAAATACTATAGATATTTTAAATATTTTAATATTGCAACAACTAAATAATTTAGCAAATACAGATCCAGATGATACTGCAGTGAACATTATGCTTTCCTTCCATCAAGTTCATTAAATGCCAACTATAAATTAAAATTGAAAGGCAATTTCTAGTAGATATATCAAATAATTTCTTTAGAAATACCTTATGCTACAAAAAAGATCATGAATCTCAAATATTTGGAATGAAATTCTGATGCTGATTAAAATAAGAAATAAACTGCTTTTGTGGTGTTCTCTTTTAGGATAAATTGAAATCTGATTATCATTTATGGACTACATTAACAATACTTCCCTAGTAGATGATTTTCATCTATAAAAATGTTCTTCTAAATATAAATAGTGATTGTTTCCATTTTTTCTACTGGCTTATCTTAATTTGAAAATACTTTTTCATTTTTCTCCGAATATTTGTTCATTAAAAAAGAAAAAAAAGAGTTAATTTTTAAGTCTTTTTTTAAAACACAATTTTATAAAATACATTATTTAAAAACATTGAACATGGTGGAATCATATTTGATGTATCTTTTTGTCTTACATCTTATAATATATTATATATTTCTTATATACATTTATACATATTGAATCTTTTTACATTTAATTTTCCTTTAATACATCATCCGCTATCTTCAGTTTTCATTTAATCACAGTCTCAGATATCCCTTCTACAAATCCTGTTTCTCTTTTCCATTTTGAGTCCTTCCTTTCCATCCCTACCAATGATAAAACTTGTTCCAAATCATATAATATTCTGACTCATCCTTGTATTTCATTTCTAAAGTCATTTCTAAAGTCCATTTCAGCGCATAACAAGATCTTATTTATCACTTCATCTTCCCTTGGGAATTCGATCGCCTTCCATTTCTGGGCAAACACCATTCTTGCCGCTGTAATAACATGGATTATTAAATAGGTCTCTTCTTTGCTATATTTCTTAGACATAATTCCCAATTTAAAAAAATTCTGGTTTATAATCTATTTTTAGTCCCAACATTTCTTCTAAACACATCCAAATCCTAAACCAAAACTGCTGTGCTTTTTTGCAGACCCACCATGTATGATATTATGTGCCCCATTCTTGCATATATTTCCAACAATTTGATGACTGACTTTTGTACATTTTAACCAATCTTGTTGGTGAGAGGTGCCAGTGATAAAACATTTTGTACAAATTCTCCTTGTATGATGTGGCTAGTGTTATTTTTTTGTTCCACTCCCATAATATTTGCCATTGATCTAGATTTATGTTATACCCAAAGTCTTTAGCCGATGTCACCATCGCCTTCTTAACCTGTTCTTCTTCCAATTTATATGCCAATAAAATTTTATAAATTTTCCCATTAATGGCCCCTTCTCTGAATATTTGTTCAATAAAAACAAAAAAGAACTAATTTTAAAGTCTTAATAGCAGTTTTTCAGTCCATTTCCCCCATGTTAACATTAGAATTGCACTCAGGATTTGTCATAAATGTGTCAGCATTCCAAGTCAATTTTCTTTTCCCTCCACCCTTCTGCTTTTTATAATACTGACATTTTGATATTAAGACCAACTATAGCTTTCCCTGTTTTGTATGATTTTGGCCCCTTTAAAGATTATGCTTCCCCATGGATGATTGGACTTTTTTTTTAACATCAGAGCTATTATCTCAAAATGTTCTTTAAATGTATAAAATAGATATCTGCACAACAGTAATGAATGGTAACATTTAGTGACAATGCTGAGAAAATAAACTAATGAAATTTAAATGAAAATTTCCGTGTCTTAAATCTTAAGAGTGCCACAAAAAAGGGAGAGCTAGGAGCTTTGATTTTCCTTTAGCAAAACTTTTATAACCTATACGCTACTGTATTAGTTTCTTTATTTTTCATCCTACACTTGTTTGTGGAAACACATATTTTGTTTATGGAAACATGCAAAGCAGCTACACAAGGTTAAGTTGTCTTAATTCTGTATGATTTACAATGCTTTGTCAAATATTTTTCATAAAGAGAACAGCTTAATTTTTCAATATCCTTTCAACTTGTCATTCATAGAAAAACTATTATACTTCAAAAAAAAACCAATGGTTCCAAGTAACCAGCCAATTTTACAAAATTGCAGCCTTCTTGCCAGCCATTCTTCTCTGACGGGCTCAGGCATGTCTAATATGCATTTACTCGTCTCAGACATTAAATTTACATCTGCAGGAAGGACAACTCTTGAGTTCTGGGTCACCTACAAAGTCAAATGACTGAAATCCCCCCCTCTCTGTTCAGAGGGAAAATGTTTATATTTGAAAAATTACAATCAGAATTCTGAGAGAAAGAGACCAAGAAGCTAGAGTGAAGTTGGATTCAAGAGAAAGAATTCAGATTTCTCTCCAATCTCTGGTTTAAGTTTGAAATGGAAGGAAGGACTTCTTAAAGAAAAATGGTATAAAGTTGATATATGTTTCCACAGGTCTATATTCTTTAGAAGAAATAGGTAAATGTTAGATACAAACTGGACTGAGTTGATTTTTTTCCTCCACCCTTCTGCTTTTTATAATATTTTTAAGTCAAATTTTGTCTTTATTTTCTCTATACATGCTCAGTGCATGAGGGTTTTGTGCAAAACAGCTACTTTTTATGTCAGAGTTGCTTCTAAATAAGAAGCAAAACAGTATGTATGATATATGATATCAAATTTAATGACAATATTTGATTGTATTCAGCAGGTTCTGACCGGTTCTGGAGAACTGGTAGAGAAAATTTTCGGAGAACTAGCAAATACCACCTCTGACTGGCCCTGCCTCCATCTATTCTCTGCCTCCCGAGTCCCAGTTGAATGGCTGGCTCTTCTTTTGTTGCCCTGTACAGGAGAACGGAGCTGGAAAGCAGGGTAGTGGGGTGGGAAGGGAGTGGGATTTTGCAGTAACCTTCCCCCAGGTGTGGGGAGGGAATGGGGATTTTACAATATCCTTCCCCTGCCACGCCCAAGCCACACCATGCCTACCAAGCCACGCCCACAGAACTGGTAGTAAAAAAAAATGAATCCCACTGCATACTGCCATGATGAAATTTTGTATAAAATGTGTCTTCTTTGTATAGCATTATCTTAAATCGTTGGGCTTTTATTATGCTAATTTATTAATCTTTCAATATTAAAAAAGAAAACAATTTTATTCTCTTACCTGTTTAGGTTGTTCAACTATTTGAAGATATGGCCCATCAGCTAGTAAAAAAGATAATGAAGAAAACAGAAGAATTCATACAAATATTGTATATCTTAAGACATTTTGCAAATAATGTTTTAAGAAACTGAAGATATATGTATGACTGCAATTCCTGGTGGATACGTTCAACAAACAAAAATCCTAACAAAATAAAATAGTGGTACAATCATGTAAACATAGCTATATGTATATTTCTTGACAATAAAAATCACATATCCTTTTCAAAGCACCTATGAAAATTTAAAGCATTCTAGAAAACTATTTCTAAGCAAATAATAGCTTGCAATTATTTATTTAACTATTTCTATTGTCAGTCACTTTGTACTTTGGGACAGCTGCAAGACTAAAACAAAAAATTGCAATTTTAGTCCAGGTTAGGTCCTCAAATCACTATACCCAAAGCAGAATAATTTCAAATCATAAATCAGCTTATTAAAAATTACAACAATAATTAATAATATAGAAAGCCAAAGGAAATAAACATCCCGTAACAAATAAGGCATAGACAATAAATGGAGGATTTTAAAAGATTTTAAATGAAATGATCCAAAGAGATATTAAGACAAGTAGAAACCAGGTGTTCTAAAGAACAATTCACAGCCCAAGGAAATTGCAATTAAAAATACTTCCTTTTTTGGTAAATATTTTACACAAAAGAAATGCAGACTTTCTGTAATTGCTCAGATTTTACATAAGCTATTTTGTTGCTAAATATTTATAGATGTTTTAAATTATTTTGATAATAATTTTATTAAAGTTTATGGAGATAAAAAACTAATACAAATTTATGATACAAATATAAAAAGTAAAAATAAAATTGCTGGTACAAAATTTAAAAAGGATAAAAATAGTAACAAAAAACTAAAAGAGATAAAGAAATGACTTCCCTCTTTACCAAGACAAGCACAAACAGTTTCAGTAACAAAATATCTTCTTCTCATATCTCATATCTTATCTACAAACGTTAAAACCTCCCCATTCAGTTTTACTCAGCAAAAGTCCAGAGTTACCAGAAATAACATACATAAATACTTACGTATGTATATATGTACGTGTGTGTGTGTGTGTGTGTGTGTGTCTGTGTGTACATTAACTAGATAAGCCAACTTTGTATTCCTTTCTTTTCTTTTCCTTTCAACACCACAACACACCATTTGCTCTGCAAATACAACAAAATATTTCTTTGGGCTCCTTCCGTTCTGAGCTTGGTTGTTTTCTTGCAGATGTTTCATTACCCAACTAGCTAGCATCATCAGTGCAAGAAAACACCCAAGTACAGAGAGCACCAAGGACCCCACAATTCAAGATATAAATATTCTGTTCTATTGGCAAAATCTTTTTCCTATATCTTTTCGGTTATCTATAAACAAATTATTTAAAGCTTTATATTTTAAAATTATTTTTGAGCTTTAGGAACATAGAAAACTGACAGCATAAAAAGACAGAGTCGTCTATCAAGTCTGCCCTTTGAAGATTTTTTATTTATTTCTAACTTTATTTTTTTAATTTTGTGTGTGTGTCAGATGGTGAACATGTGGTTTATCATTCTTTTAATTGTAGAGAAACGGTTTTTAAAAATATGATCCAAGATTCAAAATAATAACCTTTCACTGATTAAAAAAAACCTGTCAGCCCACGCAGGTAAACTGTACCAGGAAATATGACAAAATTAATGAATTATATTTTATTGTAAGGCTTACATTAACAAAATCTTACAAGTCCGAAAGATGTAAAGTTCCCACCTCCACTTTTGACTGCTTTATCCATTAGGGTAGATTGTTCCTAAGTTTCTTTCTCTGACCTCCAAGCCACGGGGATTTTTGCTTTTCCTCTCCGATTGTTTCCTATCCACATCTCCTCCTCTCTTTCTCATGAATAATCATTCATTTTGTAACACTATGTTACAAAAACAGGGTTCTTCCCTCTGCAGTTCCTTAGAACCTATTAAACTGTCCTTCCCCCTGAAGGTCTCCCCGTATAAGTACATGAACATGATTAATACGTACGCTTAGGTTTTCTGGGCTTTGGCAATGGTAAATAAATTAAATAGCAACAGCAACAGCACTTAGACTTACATAGCACTTTGCGGTGCTTTACAGCCCTCTCTAAGCAGTTCACAGAGTCAGCCTATAGACCCCAACAATCTGGCTCCTCATTTTACCAACTTCAGAAGGATGGAAGCCTGAATCAACCTAGACCCGGTCAGAACTCCTAGCACTGGGCAGAATTAGCCTGCAATACTGCATTCTAAGCACAGTTCCACACAGCAAAGCTAAATAGCTAAACAGCCAAAGTTCAGCAACAGCCTTATCTTCCAAATCATCTTCACATGTAATAAATAGAAGAGATTAACATTCAAAGAGGAAATCAAGATGCAGTTCGCACATTTCCCCATAGAAGACAAGGAGTTCCCATTCCCATTTTTCAAGTAATAAAGAACACAAGAATGAAAATCATTCATACTTCCTCCCTTGCACTGTTGTTAAAAATCAGGCAGGTTTGCTCTTAAGTCACCTGTGGTGTTTTAATTTGGGGATATAGTCCCAGCAGACTATAGCAACCACCACCACCACCACCACAACAAACAAAAAAAACCTGTCATCTTTGCACAGTTGCAAAGAACATAGTATTTGTTTCAGGAAGTCCCCAAATTTCCCAAGTATTTCTCCTACACACAAACACACACAAACACAAGAAAGAATTGTACAGTGATGATACAAAGAGGATCAGAATGTTATTCGACAATGACTTTAATTGTCAAATATTTCAAGATGTCCTTTCCCAACTTAGCTCAGATCCTCTTTTCCTATCGAACAGTTAAAATGCATAATTTGGGGACACATAATTTGTATTTATGTTTTCAAAAACCATACTGGGAGAAGCTGCCTTGCGAAAAATTCCTCATCATCAATATATCTATATCTATAAATGTATTATTAATCTGTTATCAATCAACCAATAATGGCTCTTACTTGGGCGAAGTGGCAGATCCGTTGAAATCATGCTTGCGTTATTGTACAGCTGATTCATCCCCAAGGGGTAATGTTCCATTGCATATACCTGTGTTAAGAAGGATTACATTTTCAGTAACACCAGTTATACAAGCTAATTAAAGAAATCAAATACTGTGCAGATAGTCCTGGACTTATGACCACAATGGAGCCCAAAATTTCCATTGCTAAGCAAGGTAGGGGTTAAGCGAGTCGTGCCCCATTTCATGACTGTTTACCACGGGTGTTAAATAAATCACTGAAGTTGTTAAGTGAATTGTGTGGTTGTTAAGTAAATCTGGCTTCCCCATTGACTTTGCTTGAGGGAACTTTCCTAGGATGGTTACAAATGACTATCCCAGGACTGTGGGATGCTGCAACTATAGTAAATCTAGCATCCAAAGTTTGATCATGGGACTGTAGTGATGCTGCAGTGGTCAAACGGATGAGAACTGGTCATAAGTCACTTTTTTCAGGGGCATTGTAACTTTGTATGGTCATTAAACAAATAGTTGTAAGTTGAGGACTATCTGTAATTTTTCTGGTAGTTATATTTTATCTGCATAATTATTGTCTGTGCTATTTCACCAGCTATTTACAGCAGGGGTCGACAACCTTTTGGATCTCAGGGACCACCAAACTCATACTTTTAAATCCCGAGGACCACTAATATGATTTTTTAAAAAAGCTAATATATTTAATATAATTTTTTTATGTTAAATATAAAT